AAATCAATACTTTTTTTTTTGTAGTTTTTTATCCTAATAAATTTTTTTAGTTAACTCTTTAATTGATATTTAAATATTTTTAATCAATATTAAATATATTTAATCAATATTAAATATAATGAGACATTTAAACTTCTTTAACAGAGAGATCTTTTTCAACTAAATCAATGTTGAGTTTTCCCAAAAGGAGTTTTAGATGTGTGTATTATTTTAGTTTGTTTTTTATCATCAATATAATAATATTCTATCCATCCAACTCGTGTAATGTTAATTAAAGACAATATTTATGTTCAATCATTTAATTAGTATGATTACGCTCTTTTAATTCAAATAAGTATCATGCATTATTGCCAGCCAATGGCGACATTATTTTTTATAATAAATTTATCATGCACTATGCAGATACAAATTTAGTATAATATAAGTTTAATTAATATATTCATATTTATTAAAAATAATAGTTAATAAATTGGATACTTAATCATTTAATATAACATGCAAAACTGTATGAGGGGTTCGTGATTCAGAAAATACAAACCAGTTGACAAAAAAAAATAAAAAAAATCAAACTGTAAACAGAATAACAATCACAAATGAAACTGTTTGGAGATTCAAACCGTAGTTTATCATCGTAAGTGACGAGTTCCTTTTTTACACTTAATTAATGGTTTTAGGAAATTTTTTCGGCTGTTTTTCCATATTGTGGTAATTAAAAAAAAATTACTGAAATAAGATTTAAGTGAAACAAATTAGTCTGGAGTAGAGAATGTCAGGTGACACCAGAGTCATCTAAAAGCAGGACGACACTAAAAATGGAAAAAAATTAAATGATTCAAAACTGATCAACAGTTGAGAAAAAAGAAAACACGTGTCAAAATCTTAAAGAGTCAGTTGGATCTAGGCCGACTTCAGTGTCAACTGAGTTATGGATAACAATAAGGTGATTGGTTCACGTGGCATACACATTTGACTGTTCAAAGGCGCCGCTTCCATTTCTCCTTCGTTGTCTCTGTTAGTCTTCCCACATTGGACCTTTTGCAGATTCAAAAAAACACAGGATCTGTTGAAATTTGTTGGCATCCAGAATCTATTTTGTATGAAAAAATACATTATAAAGGTAAAATAACAGTAATGTGAATATATTTTATTTTTAAATATAATATTTATTTAGATTGCATGCATGTAACTTTGAGATGATGGTTTAAATAAAAGATTTGTGGTTGAGTGGGTGAAAACTCGTGAAGAAGAAGAAGGTCCAAATCCAGATGAAACTAGACTGCAAAGGTGCACAAATTTTCTTGTTTTTAAATATTAATTATATTAATTTGTGTATATGATAAACAGATTTAAAGTATTATATTTATAAAAATTAATTATAAAATATAATAATTCTGTCTTCAAATTTATTTAAAACATTACATATTGAAAATAGACTTTATAATTTAAGAAATAAAATTATTATTGAATAAGAATAATGAAATTAAAAAATAATGAATTTACTATTTAATATTAAGAATTACATAAATAAATTAAGAGTGATAAAATTATGTATCTATTTAAAATAGTTGTTAATTATAATTTAATTATAAAATTTGAAAAAAAAAATATAAAAAGGTCTTCATTAATTAATTAAATTTTTTGTTAATTTTTTCGTAGTATGATATATAATAGTTAATTTAGTCCATGAAAGCAAGTTTTGTTTTAAATTTAGAGTAATTAAATTTCTTGTTATGTATTATAATTGTAAAATTATGTTTAAAAGTTGTTAAATTCTTTATAAATAAAAATTTGATTTTGTATTAAAGTTAAAAGAATTTAGGTTAATTTGAATATTTGAAATTGTTAGTTATATAATTGTAATAAAAATTAGATAATAATGAATAATGAATGATAATATTCAATAGAATTTTTAATCTATTAATTTTAATGTATATAATTTTAGTTTAACTTAACAAATTTCATTTCAGATGACATCATCTTTATCGCGAAGTAGAGTTTTAAATCCTGACCCGAAAGATAGTTTATTATTGAGGTATCAGTCTATTTATGTATCTCAGCATATTTGGGATGAACGTGACCATCCAATTTTGAAGGTGATGAGGAGTCACTTTATACCGGCTGACATGGAGGGGGTTCCAATAGAGATACTTCTTCATCTTACTTTAGTTGTATTTGTTGGAGTAGCTCAGTTGGCATGCTTTCCTATTAACTGATATCTTATTACAGCCTTGGTGGAAAGATGGAGGCCAAAGACTCATACCTTTCACATGCTTCCTAGAGAGTGTACTATAACTCTTCAGGACATCACTATTTAGATAGAGTTTCATATATATGGAAAAACAGTGATTGCAGCTACAGGAGGTAATTGGGCACAAATTGTGAAGGACTTGCTTGGTATTAAACCACCTGCTGATGCATTTATGGGGAGTAGTTTGAAGTTGAGTTGGTTGGACCAACACTTTACACATGTTGCAATGCACAACCAAAACAAACTTCAGCTTACTCGCTTTGCTAGAGCTTATATTATGAGGTTGATAGGTAAGTTCATGTTGGCTGATCATTCCTCAAGCATGGTTCCAGTTAGCAAAGTTCATCGGTACTTACCATACAAAAATGTTTCATCTATCTGTATTATAGACTTACAAAAGTTGAAAGCTTCATGACATTACTTGAACGACCAATACAATGATGAAAAACTCAATATCCATTATCCACGATGTGACCTTCAACATAATCATTTGTTTCAATTTTGTATAAAGATCCAGGAGTATGTAATTGCATGTACTCTAACAACATTGACAATGCAACATAAGATTCGTCCCAATCACCAAATACAGTGACTATTACTTTTTGTTTTGCTTTTCATGCCTTCTTATACGAAATTGAATATCCAAATTGACCACTAATTCTCTCTTAAATTAACGAAATAGGCACTGATGGTTCTTGTTTCACCATATCTACATCTCATATAATAAAGGAGTTTTTCAATTTGTAGGAAAATATTATATCTAGTAGGATGAAATTTAGTATATTTTTTCTATTTCAAAATAATAAAATTTAATATAAGATTTGACATACTAAGAATGCATGAACAAATAAATTTGGAATCCAACTTTTGTTGGTCCTGAAAGATTGAAGCATGTACGCATGTATGGACACCATCCCATTTCATAATTTTTCACTTGCCTGCATTTTTTTGCAATAATGCTCGAACTCTGCAAGGACATCCACTATCGTGATTGACACACTTCACAACATATGTTGTTGCTTTTGACTCCACCACAAAAAAAGTTTGATGTTTCCTCATGGTATAATGTTTTATAGCCATTCTTACATCTTTTTTAATGTCAAATAGTTATCTAACATATAATACATCTCTTTCCTTCCATGATTATGAGTCATTCATACCAAGAAAATTTAATTCTTGATCAGGGTGCTCCAATTAATATGATTGTAATGTGGGGTTATATTTTAAAAAGGCAATGTAATTTCTGTATTACAACAATTCATCTGTCAATTTTACACCCTTATTAACGATTTATATATTACTACAAATATAAGTTATGAAAATCTATCTTTTAAATCACTATCTAAAATCATACCTCTATGTTATTGTTGCGTTGAGCTAACTTTTACAATACCCTCCATATTGATCATTGAATCAAAATAATCATCTGTCTCAGTATCAGAAAAATTATTTAATGAAATATCTTCTTCATCTTCATATTCATCATCTTTATATATAGATCCTATATTGTAAGCTTATATTATTAATAGTATTTGCAGCATTAATTTTAAAAATTTAAAATTATTAAAATCATATTACCTTTTTTTATTGCATAATCATCGTCATCGCTTACATGAATATGTGAGAGTGATAAATTAACTTCTAACGGACGAGTCACAGAAGATGTTTCACCGACCGCAACATCCACATATATCTCAACTACATTCCTATGATGTGGTTGTTGACACGCACTTATCATGCAATTTATGTCTTCATCATCACATACATCCAAAGTTGTATGGTATAGACCATTTGTTCCAACTAAAATTCATGAAATTAATCTAGAAATTACGTGACAATTAGACAATTTTAATTTTGTGTGGATCTTCCTTTTAAATATCGCAAGTGTGATTTCACGTTCTATCTTAATCATCTTTTTCTTCTATTAAAAAATTACCCTTATTTCTTTCGTATATTCTACCATTTGAATATAATATAACAATAATTTCATTCATCCTACATTAAAAATAATTGATCATCATAATAATTTATAATATAACAAAATTATATTTAAAAAGTCATTTGTAATTACAAATATTTAAATATTTAATTTTTAACATTATATTTTATCTGTCTTATTTTTAAACATAACAAAAAAATTAAATTATAACATTAACGCTTAAAATATTATCAGAATAAAAAATAAAAATTATTATTCAAAATAAAAAATCTTAATAGCCAATAAAAATAAAATATATATTTATAATGCTTAAAACATAACCTGATTGCTCCACGGTTGTTATTTCTTTTCCAGCTCCACAGTTGCTATTTCTTTCTTAGCTCTACAGTTATTGTTCGTATTTATAGACATTTAGATTTGGACAAAATGATGTATCAAAATTTTTATCCAACGGTAATATTAAAATCGGCTCCTATTGGACAACATTATAGTTGTCTCTGATTTGGATGTTACTAAAATCGTCTCAAATATGGACGACATAAGTTTATGGCGCGACATGTGTCATCATCACGTAAGTGTCGGCTCCTAATAAAATGACACTCTCAGGACTTGACACGTCATCATGTGTGTCCCTATTCTGAACAACTTTCATGCTACGTGTTGTTTTAATGTAGCCTATTTTGATAATTTTTTAAAAATTATCCCAAAAAGACAAAAAAGTCTATTTCTTCTCGTGTTAAGTTAAATTTGATTTTGCATTCTTCTTTTCTTTTTCAGTTTTTTTTTTTCCCTTAAAAAACATTGGTTTGTTGTATTGACATACATGAGTGGTGAGAGAGTAGCGGAGAGGAAAAACAATAAAAGAAGGCGTGGAACAAAGAAAAGTGCGCTCCCGTGAGCTTAGGTTTAGACTGAAACACACCAAACCAAACCGTCGCTGGGCCGGGCCGGGCTGGGTCGGTGCCTTTCCTTTATAAATAAAGTTGCTTCCTATTTTATTCATTTTTACACTTGTCACGCTACGCTACGCGGTATCTGCACGGAGAGAGAGAGAGAGAGAGAGAGAGGGAAAGAGGGAGTTGTGATGTCAATTACTCAATTGTATTGTCAATGAGTGTCACTGCGTACTATTTTGATTAGTAATTAATTGTTATCAGTTTTATGAATTAGGTGAAATAAGAGGGAATGAATGGTGGGTGGTAATGGCGAAGAGTGAGAGCGGGAGAGAGGTGTCGGTGTCGGCGTCGGAGTTGAAGGAGAAGTTGTGGGAATTGGTGAAAGCCATCGTCCACACCGATGACTACACCGTTCAAGCCACCGACGAGGCCATCTCCACCCTAAAGTCTCTGAAGGATTTCAAATCTGCAAGTGGAACCTCTTTCTCCGACAGATTGGACCATTTTGCCCTTCCTCCCCATTTTCGCTGCCCCATTTCCACCCATTTGATGACCGATCCTGTTATCTTGTCCTCCGGTCAGGTATTCTCTTCTCAACTTCATCATAGCAATACCCTATTAATCATTCATTCATTTCCTTAATTAACCTATGCAACAGTGACCCTAAGCACCCTTGTTCAAATTACATTCATTTCAATTGTGTTTTGGAGCTTAGCTTAGATGAAGCATATGCTACTACGGCTAGAATATAATAAAATCGATTAGAAAAATGGTGTATTTCACATTCCTGGATGGATTGATTGACTATGACTATTTTCAATACTCATTCATTGTTGTGCTTTAAATTTGGTGTATTGTTGTTTTGCAGACTTATGATCGGCCATTCATCCAGAGGTGGTTGAATGAAGGTAATAGAACATGCCCACAAACCCAGCAGGTTCTCTCTCACACAATCCTCACTCCGAATTATTTGGTCCGGGACATGATTCAGCAGTGGTGTAATGACCGTGGAATTGAGCTGCCAAAGCCTGCTTGCGACATCCATGAAGTTGTGACTGATGCCGACAGAGACCATTTAAACTTCTTGCTTCGTAAGTTGTCCTTGTCTGTTTCTGATCAGAAAGAAGCTGCCAAAGAGCTTCGCCGGTTGACGAAGCGAATGCCTTCGATTCGAACCCATTTTGGGGAGTCTAGTGATGTGATTTTGCAGTTGCTGAGTCCTTTATCGCCTGGCACGCCTTGTGCTGACTCTGATCTCCAAGAGGACTTGATCACCACGGTTCTGAATCTCTCAATTCATGACGATAATAAGAAAGTGTTTGCAGAGGATCCGACTGTCATTTCTCTGCTTATTGATGCCTTGAAATCTGGAACTGTTCAAACAAGAAGCAATGCTGCAGCAGCTATTTTCACCTTATCGGCTCTCGACTCCAACAAGCACATCATTGGAAAATCTGGAGCTATCAAACATCTGCTTGACCTTTTACATGAGGGGCAGCCATTGGCCATGAAAGATGCTGCTTCAGCCATATTCAACCTATGTCTTGTGCATGAGAATAAAGGGAGGACGGTGCGTGAAGGGGCGGTTCAGGTTATTCTGAACAAGATGATGGACCACATTCTAGTTGATGAGTTATTGGCTATACTGGCATTACTCTCTAGTCATCCCAAGGCTGTTGAAGAAATGGGTGATCTAGGTGCTGTTCCTTTCTTATTGAGTATCATAAGGGAAAGCACGTCAGAGCGAAGCAAGGAAAATTGTGTTGCAATTCTATATACAATCTGTTTTAGTGATAGAACAAAGTGGAAGGAAATTAGAGAAGATGAAAAAGTCAATGGTACACTTTCAAAGCTTGCACAATGTGGAACTTCAAGGGCGAAAAGGAAGGCTAACGGTATTCTTGAAAGGCTTAATAGATCTCCCTCCTTGACCCACACTGCTTAATGAAATCACTTCTTTGTAAATAAATTTCTTGTGTTCTTCTGTACAAACCATCTCAGGTAGCTGTAAAAATGGGAAAGAGAAGTTCACATATTATGTACATTAACCGCATACAGTTCCTTCACTTGCAATCAGGCATATGAATGAATGAGCAAAGTGTTTAACTTTTCCTTTATTTCATTCCTATTTGATTCCTTATACCTTTTCAAAAAGCTCTGTTCTTTGCTAAAGGTTGCATATAAGGTACTATATTCTTCTATTTATCGTTTCCTGACTGCCCGTGATTGATGTTTTTGCTTTCTAAATTTGTTACTATTCTTAATTTTTTGTCGTGTAGCCAACCAATTTTGAGTGCTGACAAATTGTCTGTTTGTATTTTGCCAATGGCGCTGTTTTATGTGGTTTTCGTTGCTGGTAAGTTGGTATCATACAGCTCTGAGAATAGATAACTAATCAAAGCGTGGGACTGAGAGTGGGGCACTTGGGTAGGGTCCCCATTTGTTTTCTTTCCCCCCCGCCAACCATTGAAGAGTGTCGGCATGGTATTTATTTTTCCTCTTCTTTTCCCAACTTTGTTTAAACTTTAATGCACCAATTAGCCGAGGTGATTGCCCATAGGAAGGACTAAGATGATATGTATGACACGGTCACATACATTCATCTCCAAATTGATATTACATTTGAGTAGTATTTTGACTTTTGTCACTTATTTTATTCAAAATTTATTTATAGGTTCACTGATAGGCAGTAGTATTCTTGCCAATGCCATACTTTCACCGACAGGCTAGAATATTCAAAGTTGCTCAGGTCAGGCATACCTAACTATTCTGATTCTTAACGATGTGCTGAGTGACTAGACATTCCATCGTATTTGTTTCATTAACTTGTACATCCTAAGGAAGGAACAGAAGCAGTGAATTTGTTTTGGTCACATATAAATAAAGAGTGATAGGAAATAAGGACGATTCAGGCTCAGTACTGTGATGATGCCTTTCTATAATAAGGTTCGTTGTACCTAGAGCTATATTTTATTCATTAGTAGCAATAAGTGATCATGATTACTTTCAATAAAACAACATTGTCATTATCATCACTTACTATAATAAGTTTGTTGCAAAAGGATGGTTAGTTCGAATGGCGAGCTTATTCACAGAATTCAGTTAGGATGGCTGGTTTTAGGTTCAATTGAGTGGATTTCTAACTTAGTTTACGCGTAGGATGGATGGACCAAAATTGGCGAGCAATTTTGAAAAAAAATAAATTTGTTGCGCATTATTCCTCTCTCACATTACCCTGTATTATTAGTATAAGACGACAAAATTAAAGTGTAAAGTATGTAAAAAAAATTGGGTCTGAAAAAAAATGAGAATTGTCAAGATTTACAATAGTGTATGGGATAATATTAGTGTAAAGTAAAGTCGCAAACAAGACAAGTGAAGATGGAGAGGAATTTTCATTTTCCAAGGTCGTTTTCGTGGGCACTATAAGCGCCACCCACTGCTCCCAAAAAGCTGTTATTTCTAGCCATGTTCGTGTCCGCACCGCTTGTTCCAAAGTAAACCATGAACACCATTATTGTTTGTCCGAAGCAATAAATCGCTATTTTGATGGCTGAAGATAGAACTGCGGGAATCTTAAGTAATGGAATGCACTGTCACTTATTGGCTACTGTCTAAGAGATAATGATAGCATGCACGAGGCCAAGGAAAGAGACCAAAGGGGTATCCATCTCAGTTGAAATGGATGGGTTGGAATCTTATTCAATTCACATACCACGTTTTTCCTGTGACCCATTTTAACTTTTGATATAGTAGTATTATATGATTATATAATGAGTGTATGAAATTTCAAAAAATGTTTACAGTAATTTTTTAAAACGAACTTTCTTATAATCTAAGCAACAGATTGTTGATTTTGAAAACAGCTGAAAAATAATCTAATGTTTACTATATAATTATCATTAAACATTTTTGCAATGTAGAAGTAACATTTTAGCCCCCCATTTTTGTAGTTTCTGTTAAGTGGTCCTTAATTACTGAGATCGACAAGAAACAGCGGAGAATGGTACAATCGCCAATAAGATGCAAACACAGAACAAATGGCCCCGCCAATATCATAAGGTTTTAGACTTTTCTTCCCTGATTTGCACAAATCCACATTATTTTCATTAATATTTTACTAATAACAGTATCTAATTATACTGTTTCCAAAAGGCATAACATCGTACAGCAACTTCTGGCTTATCAATTCCCAACTCTCAAGCGGATTTTCAGCATAATAACTCTTATGGTAATATTTAATTTCAACTGTGCAGAGCTTGCATGTAAATATTAAGCGTCTAGAAGGAAGTTGTTTATATAGTACTACTCGTTAATATATGCCTTTCATTTTACATCCTTGAAAATGGTGTCTGTGTGGTACTATTTAAGGAAAATAGGGCCTTTTTTTGGGTCATTGTGTTAAAGCAAAAAACGCCCAAAAAGTGTATAATACAAATGGAAAAAGATTAGACACGACATTATAATAATCCGGACCCAGTCCAGCCATAAAAAGCCCAACATAAGGCCCAATTTAACGATAGCTGTTGTTTCGACTCGGGACAAACCACTAAAACGAGAGAGGCAAACCAGTCTCGCTTGCCCCAGCGTTCGTGCATTTCGGATAACGGTATTTCACTTGCCCGTTTAAGATTAAATTTAGGTTAAAAAATACAGGGTAATAGGTTTTATTGGTGTTATTTTTTGGTTAGAGTGTGAGTTTTATTTTAATAATCTGTCAATTTTTAATAGTAGTATCTGACTTTTAATATCAATTTTTAATAATCTGTCAATTTTTAATAGTAGTATCTGACTTTTAATATCAATTTTTATTGTACATATTGAGTTGTACTTCAATTTTTTAATAAGAGAACAACACCAACAGTACTATACTTAAGTTTTTTCCATTCATTTATTTCAGTTTGTCATTAAAACACTCAAGTGTGGTGCATCAGAATTCCGTGATAAAAATAAAGAAAACAGCATTATAAAAGAAAATTCAAAGCTTGTAAGGTGAAGGTTGACAAAAGAGACAACCCAACTAAATAGTAAACAACGAGTAATGGTGAAGAGTAGATGGAAAAGCAGAGAAAGATCAAACTCACTTTAAGAAAAAAATAAAATAAGAAGATCAAATGCACATTATAATTTTTAAGGAACCACCTTAAGCAATTATTTAGTTAAGAATAAAAAAGAAAAATAGAAGAAAAAATATACGACACTTTCTTATATTCGATTACAAGAGAAAAGAAAAGGGAAAAGAGAGGGTGAGACCTACCTCAAATTCCTTCTCTTATTATATATCAAATAAGAGAAGAGAAAATATTATTATTTTTATTTAATCTATTAAGCAAATACAAAATCACTTTAAATGTCGTTTATTTTTTTCTTATCTCAATTTTCCTTTACCGATTTTCTTCTCACAACAAAATTATGTTTAAAGATCAAGATGATAACAACGCTTGATTAGAGAATTTATAAATTTGGGTCCATCCACTTTCATTAGCGTATTGTCATTAAGGCTAGTCTTGAAAGTATTTCAAACTCGTGAATAAACAAAACGAGGCGAGGACTATCTTCTACCTATATGAATATTGATATCCTCTCATCTTCTACTCAGAGGATAGTTGCCCTTCCTCTGGGTATTTGCACAATAGCATTCAATACAATTTCCAAGTTAAACAACATAAACATGCAAAATTAGCTGTAAGATTGTAAGAGCCTCTGACTTCTAAAAGTATCACGTGACACACTTGCATGCATTAATGTAATTTTATTTAATAATTAGCAAGTTTTAACTTGCACAATTGATGTGACGAATACATGACGAAAACAACATCAAAAATGGAAATTATTTGGGAGGTATGTTCGTTTGATAATTTATTTTCAAAGTTACTTTGTTGGGTCAATTGTTTTGAGTAAAAGCTATCGATCTCTCATGCCCAAGAACAGAAGCTATCTAATAGGTATGCTTTAATAGGAAAAATGCGAAACCAACGAGGAATCACACGTCTTTCCATGTCACAACGCAAACCATTTTAGGGCATTGGAGAGCCTCTTAAGGAAACTTAGTATAGAGTCTTCCAATTTTCGTTTATAATCTCAAAACAAGGATTCAGTTTATACTCAAGAACAAACTTAAGTCAAAGAATTAAAATGTAGGTGTGTGTTGCACTCGCAAATGTATGGATACATTATACTTCTTTTAGTTAAACTTTATAATTAAAAATTAAGTAAAAGTTTCAGAATGATTGCTTTCTTTATCTTTATTTAATCACATTATTAGTCAAATCTTACTTTGAGTTGTGCTAGAACTAAATCTTATGCACGAAGGCACAAATAATAAATTTGATAAAATTATGAATGAATTGTGTTTATTCATAATTTATTTCTATAGCAGTTAAAAAAGAAAAAAAGAAAAAAAAAAGTCCTTTTTTTTCATCAATATAGCATTTGATTCATTTTTATTCTTAAAAGGAAAAATTGGACTAAATACAATTCTAATATATATTTAAGAATAAATTAAAGCACCCCCCCCCCCCCCCCCAAAAAAAAAAGAAGCTTGCGTAAAAATCAATTAGATGAACTTTTACTTTGAAAGATTAAAATAATTAGTTCAACTACCACATAAGTCATACTATAAGTTGGGTATTTGTGTAATAAGGAATTGTATTTTTAAATTTTTAAAAAATTATTGTAAGAATAAGTAAAAGTAAATTTATAAAATAATATAAAATAGAATCTATTTTCTGTTTCAATATAATTATGAAAAGCACTATTTATTTTAAAAACGTGTTATCTCTATAGTTTTTTCAGCAATCACTCAAAGTAATCAAGAATCTATTTCTTATATTTTGTTTTTTTTCCTTATAAACTTAAACAATACTAAAATTTTCAAAAATAATTTTTTAAAATAAAAGATTATTTTCACAAAAATTGAAAAGAAAACTAAAACAATCAGACTTTAATTGAATTCATAAGACTAGTTTTTCTTACTTGAATGTCTTGTATTCAGAAGCACCCCACTTAAGAAAGCTACTTGACCTTACAGGTCTTCTTGATTGTTATATAACATTAGTCACCTCAGCTCCAAACAAGGCTTTCGAGGTGACAACAGTATTATGGTTGAATTGTAAATGCATAAATATCTTGGAGGTGTTTCATATTAATTTGTCGTTTGAATCATGTTTCATAGGCTACTTAATTTGAGTTTAGAAGTTAAAATTCACCTACTTGACTACCAAAACGACTAAAAAGGCATGGTTAGGGTTCCACAATAAAAACATACTTAAGTTTGGTGTTTCTTATTGAATGGTTATTCCTGTGGTACATCTTAACCTATTTGCGTCTTCAATTAATTCTCTGCGTGACAATGTATTCTACTTCCCACCTTGTATTCAAAACAAACACGAGGAGTTTTAGGTTGTGTTCGAATGAGAGTATGCTTAAGTCTAAGAATCAAAACAAAATACTATTACTAGCACTAGTGGAAAAAATAAATTTAAAATCACACTTTTAAAATCGGTTATTAAGTAGTCAATTTTAAAAATGATGCGGTGGCAATTTTGTAAATAACTGCTAGCATTTTAAAATCAGTTGTGTATGTCCGATTTTAAAAGATATATATAAAATCAGTTTTCTTATTAACCGATTTTAAAAGATATATATAAAATCGATTTTCCTGTTAACCGATCTTGTATGATTTTTTATACAAATATCTCTCTTTATTGAGTCATTCTCGCAGCAGAGGAGCCCCTTCCGGTTCTAGCTCTCAACAAACACCTAGGCAAGTTGGAGATTTGCTCTGGGTTCCCATCTGTTAATATAATAGATTTGCTTCAGACAAACACCTCAGGCTTCCTTTCAGTGGAGAAGAGCAAAGCAAGGTCTAGCGGTGGTCTCGGCCTATCTACTAAAGAAGGAGGTTTTCTAAAAAAAACTCAGGATTTGGAGAAGGTTGAAAGGTGGGGGCAGGATTCAAAGCTGCAATCTTTAGGTCGGAGGCAAGTGCACGCATTTTAGGTAATGTATTCACTTCTTTCGCTGTTTTAGATGTTTTTTCTTTATCTGTACTTAGTTTTACATTCTAATTTAGATGCCGATAATAACGTTTGTGAATGCATCATTCATAATGTCATCTTCTTTGGTTTCCTGAATGACCGTTGCTTATTTTTAATAAGAAATTCAAGGTTGAATAATAGAGATGATCACTCGATCCTGTTGATGCATAGGGAGGATTCACATGTTTAGATCTACTATGCACCATCAGACCATAGGAGAGATGATATGGTTAGGGTTTCAGTAATAGATGTTAGACATCCAGAGGCAAGAGTTCTTGTACCGATAGAAGATGTTCAAATGATGGGACAAGATCTAAACACCTTCCTTCAGATGATATGGTTAGGATTTCAGTAATGGATGTTAGACATCCACAGGCAAGAGTTCCTGTACCGACAGAGGATGTTTAAATAATGGAACAAACTCTAAACACCTTCTTTCAGTGGCCTCAGAGTTTGGTAAAGATGATATCTTTAGAGTTATGTTATTTAAGTAATATTTAATTTTAACATAGTGTTATTTTCTTCTAATATAGTATAATATCAAAATTGTACGTTGTTGAATAGGATGTTGTTACCCCACCAAAGGATAAAGAGAAGGTTGTAATTTCTCCTTCAAGAAATTTACCTCTAATAAAGAGACTATAAAGATTAATTGCAGCTATGAAAGATGACAATCACATATTAAAAGTGCTTGATTCTTTAAAATCGATCGTGTCATATTCAATTTTAAAATTAGTTGTTAACCGATTTTAAAAAATTCACTATTTAAAATCGATTGTTTCAAAATTGATTAAACAACTGATTTTAAAATAAAAAATAACCGATTTTAAAAATATTTTTTCAAGTATAGTAATATATAACGATCTACAAATTGATAATAATAAAAATATTCATTGATTGATTTTATAGCAACAGATTTATCTCGCTGAAATATCTCTACAGAGAATTTTTCATGCTTCAAACATACTCCAAAAATGAATGACTAGGAAACGAAATTAATTTTACAAACCGAAAACAAAAATAAGGCAATCTTAAAATATAATCCACAGTTCTTGAAATTCTTAAAGTACAACTTAATTTTTAATGGCATGGCTATGGATTAGTAATGACATGAGACATTTGACCAACAAATAATGGTTTAATCCAAAGATAATAAATGCAAGCACCGACTAGAATGAATGAAGGAGATGAAAGGTATTAAAAGATGACAATTACATAAATTCTCCAAAACATTTAAAAAAAGTCACTTAGCATATGGATGCGGCAAAAACCATCACAACATAGCCATCTATTATATTAGAATCCCTCAGAGAAACACATGACCACTCTTCCTTCCTTTCCTTCTCAAAAAATTAAAAAGAAAAAGAAAACTCCTTGGAATTCAATTCCATCACGAAACGCAAGCAGCAGGAACCAGACACTTGGAAATGAAACCTAACATCTTCTTCTGCATTTTCAACAAAAACAAATCACTAAATGATAAAAACATATTACTAGTATGTTGTAAAAGTTAAGGTTAGGTGGATAACCCTCTTAGTTGTGCGAAGTAGCTCCGGAGGGATCTTATAGAGATCTTCATCAACAGGTTTCGGAGGTCGAGGTGGCGGAGATCGCGGAACGGCGTCGTGTAGATGACTCTGCTTCCTCACTACTGGCTTCCTTGCCTGTTCCGCTACGTCGCACACTTTCCCTTGCTTTCTCATATTCACGTTATCTTTCACCATAACATTTGCGCTTTTCCTTTCCCTGTTCCTCGTCCCCTGCACCCACCACATTTTCCCTTTTTTTATTTTCATCAAATTCAACAAATTACAAATAATTTAAAAACATAAAACGGAAAAACAGAGCACAGAGGCATGTGCTTTCACTTCAGATTTCACGTCCCGTCTCAACCACCACACCATTATTAGCCATGTCTATGGGTCAGGTCATTTATCATGTACCACCGTACCATCAAAATTCCACACAACTAATTACGACCAAAAGAAAAAAAAAAACTTTAATGCTAATGAAGTTTTCTACCTGATTAAATTATAATAAAATAGGATTTTGAATTGAATGTGGGAATTTAAAAAGTGAAGATAGAATCACCAAGGAGACCTTTTTAATAGTAGAACAAACAGGTGGAGGTTTCTTAAAATCAACAGCGTAAAGGTCTCGATCTGCACGCACGTAAGAAGGATCACTTTCTCCGGAGGAAGAACTGTAACGAAGCAAACCAGCTTGTCTTGCAGTCTCGAAGTACTGAGTGATTGGTAAGTCATTGGCATAATCCCAGTTCCCAAACGCCGGTATCTGCCCACTTCTCTTGCATTCCTGTCACATAACAACAGAATTCAATCATTGCATTGTATTGCATTGGTGATCTGAAAGAAAACCCAAAAGAAGACTTACATCCATTTTTGGCTTGTGTGTAAGGCGAGACCCAGAAGGTGATTCAGTGGTTGTTGATGTTGTTGATGTGTCCTACGAGAGGATGTGTGGGGTTGAAGAAGTAGTTTAAGTATAAAGAGAGAGAGAGAGAGAGAGAGAGAGAGAGAGAGAGAGAGGAAAAGGGGTTAAAGTAAAGACAGGATCCGCAGGGAGGGGCTAAACCTCAGACAGGGGATATAAATTCCTTAGAGAAAGAGAATCTGAAAACATAAAACCTTTTCACTTGCTTTCTTGTGAAGTTATGACAAAGAAAGGGGTGCAGAGGAGATACTAATAACTGCTCAAGAAGCACAAAAACGGGACCTGTCCATACCCATTGATTTTGTTCCCTTTACTAAAATTCTAGAGAGACAATTGGTCCAATAACAAAAAAAAGAAAAAATAAACAAGTGAATTGGTGTGTGAGTGTAACTATGTATAATTGAATTGAATTTGAATGAAGCTAGATTTGAGGAATTTAGTATACGAGTGACTGTTGCTGACAGGTAGGTGGGTGTTACTGTTGGGAAGTATGACCAATCTGATAAAGCTTCCAACTTCAATGCCAATGGCTGCTGCCAAACTGTCACTGTTGACTCTCTTCTGCGCCACTTTGCCCTTATAAAGCAAACCAAAGGCCCCCCCTTTCTCTCTTTCTCACTTTGCGCGAAACTCGCAAAGAAAGTTTCCACCCTTTTTCCATTTCATTTTCATCCTATATTTTTTTGGACCATGCCGGATCTCGTGCTTTTGTTTTATTTACCCATGCCAATCGTTTTTATTATTAAACAATTTTTTATTTTTAGATTATAAGTTTTTTCTTATTGGAGTTAAACTTTTACTCAAATATCGACTCCAAGAACATTGATCAACGCTTGCACATGTCATGTTATACTCTGTATCCCTTTTAATAAATTTTGATTGCCATAACAGAGATGAGAATGAGATGAAAGTAGTCTCTACCACCGTGCAACTCAACAATGCATTTCCATTTTAGAAAGTAGACCAAAATAGTCAATAGCATAGAGTGTAAAGTCGGCGAAGAAAACGGATGCCATGCGACAGACGTGCAGAAATTCCATGGTCAAACGGAGGGAGCAATGAGTCAACACGATATAGGTTAGGAATGGAGTAATGGCTACTACATTTTCTTCTAGAATATGTTCAAGAATAAAAGTAAAATGATTTTACCAAAAACGTAAATAATAACTTAATTAAAGAATTATGAGAAGAAATGTATTAATAATATTTTAAAAAATTATTAACTTTAACTTTTAAAATTAAGTATAAATAATTATTAGTAATATATATAACGGAAAGAGAGTTTATTGTGAAACGTGATTAGAAAGGAAGCATAAAAGTTAGCATCGTGGTTCGTGAAAATTGTGATTTGGGGTCGCAAGTTTGACTTAGAATACCAAAAACAGTGTAATAAAGATTAGCACAAATATGAGTACTTGGGTTATTTTTTACTTTTAAATTAAATTTTTTTTTATTTTTTAATTTATAATAAATTTTTAAAATTCCTTTTAAAACATTTTTGATAGTTGAATAAGTGGGGGTCTTTCTTACCAAAACTTTGACTAATGTGACATCCTTTAGTCAACAAAACAAGAACGCCAATTTCCAGCACATGACATGAGTCATTACACGCCAAAATCTCTTTGTTTCCTTCCATAATACGACACTTATTGCCTCATCTCTAATCAGAGTATTTATTGAATGATTTAATCAATTTTTTTAATTAAAGTGTGTTGACAATCTCTCCCTCTGTCCATGCGGAATTCATGGAATTGGATGTTCTCACACTAAGCATCGGTCAGTGAAAACATGACATTGTCACATTACCAAAGTCTTTGTTTGCATTAATTTCAACGCAAGATTTGTACCTTTAAATATATATTTAAATAATTCTCATATCTAAAACACCCACTTGCATTCGAGTTCTCTCTACTTTGAAATTAATTTAAAATTAAATTTCTTTCATTCTCTCTCCATTTATTTTAATTCTATAACTAGAACATTTTGTGCGGTGAGTTTGATTTTATAACTTGAGAAAAGTGTCTTGCGGGATAGAATGCTAATATGTTATAGTATCTTCTAAAATCCTTGCAGTCCAATTCTTCCTATTCGTTTTCCTTTTCACCCTTACTGGGACCCCAACAGCTGCAATATACCTTTGTCAATAATGAAGACGGAGAAGAAGGCTATGCTCAGACTCGGATGCTAATTTAGGATACTGTTTTTTCAGTTTTTAAACAATTCTTATAACTTTTGAAAGGTACAAAATAATTATCATTATTTTATCATGTTGTCATTGATATTACCGGCACATGACTTTTATTGTCATTGTCATTTTTCAAAATCAAATGTTAAAGTAAGATTTTTTAAAAATTAAAATAATTGGGACTTTTAATTTAAAAGAATAAAATAAGTATTTAATTTTAAAAATATTAAAACAAGACATTTAAGTTAAAGGATTAAAATAAATTAAATATACAGTGCGAAAATATTAATTTTATAAAAAGCTATATCTTCTATGATAAATCATTAGCTCTTAATTTTGTATGTATCACCTTTTGATTGGGAAGACTTTTTAAAAATATAAAGGGGATTCGATTCTTGTTTCTTCCCCCCTTAAATTTAGTCATGTATACTACAAGTGGTGACGTGGCTTTAAGGCCCATAGAAGTTGAAGGACCTCCACAATCTTGTCCAAGTACAAGGAAAATGCAGTGGACGAAAAAATGAGTACAAGGAACTGCAGCAATGGGTCCATTTTGTCAGACACTCTATGGTGCACTTGGATTGTTCGGGGTTTAGGCCCACCATAGTTTATAATTAGCTTCATTCTTTCTTTTTGGCCCACGGGTTACCCAATTGAATAACGGTATATTTCTACAAATTCATATCGTACGCATCAAAATGGATGGTATACATGCATTGAAGACACGTAGCATCTTACCAAATATGAAAAGAGAAAAAGAAAAGTTTCATCAACTGCATCACAAGTCTTTCTAAACAGAAAACTTTTCATCATTCCATAAAACATTATAGAATAAAACGTAGTAACAAAAATATTAAATTACAAAGTAGAAAGGTCTAATACCTCAATACCATAGAAATTAGTGAATACTTTCAATTTCAATGACTAATACAACTGATGGTTATATATTAGTTGAGAAGGAACACTGATATCATATAGCATTCCTCCTGTGGAAGTTTCCAATTCAACTAAAAATAGCTTAGCTCAAGCATCTTATGTCTAAACCTATAGAACACTCTGAATCTATACAGTAATGGTAGATACAGTTACAAATATTTAAACAATTATTATTATGTCAACAAAGAAACAATGGTTAAGGTGGAAAGATATCTGAATCCATGCGACATAGTTAATGAATGTAAGAGCAAAGAGGAATTTAAGATGATCAAACAAAATTATGAAGCCAAGTTATCTTGGAGATGGTTTTGGGTTTGTTTGGAATCACGTTAGAAAGTCTAAGAGCGTGTATCCAACATAAAAGCTACAACTAAGTAGCATCTGATAAACATGGATCCACATGCATTCTAACGCGAAATCAAACAGGCCATTACCTTAGTTTCCTTATCGGCAGGGCACGTCCAAAGAGCTTTTCTACTTCCCTGGCTTCCATTTTGAGCCCGTTAAGTGTCTCCATTTCTTCTTTTGAAAGCTCTCTTAAGAAGTTCTGCTCATCTTCCTGAAATACTTTGAACCCTTCTGCCAACCTCTGAAACAAGGTGGCCTCTGTCTTCTCCACCCTTTCCACCTCTTTTTCTAACTCTTCAACTTCTCTCACAATAGTCTCCTCGCCTTCCTCTACCTTTTTCTCCAGCCTCTCCACCAGGGAAGGTTCTGGCCCACAAGTGTTATCTGTCCTGATGAACTTGCTGAAGTCTCTTCCTACACTCTTTGCCGCTTTTTCAAGTTCAGGAACTATAGATTCAGGCAAAACTGCACTTCTTGTGTACACAACAGCACCTCCATAACCATCCCATGCATCGTTTCTGCCTCGGTAGTACACAAATACGTAGTCATCTGGTTTATTCTCAATCTTGGATGACAAAATATACCTGCATATCATTGCTTGTAAGTAAGTCATCAAAAGGTAAGTGACAACACTGATTCCTCATACATGTAAGAGTGCATAGAACAACATGTTGTCCTGTTCGTTCTTTTTCTGAAGTTGGAAAGTTACAATTACTTCCTTCAGAGTTTAGACACTTGAATTTCAATTTTAATAGCAACATATCAGGTTTGCTTCATGTGAACATTGTTGCCAATAACTATTCATGTTTAGCTGAGTAAAAATCGAAAAGAGTTTCTGAATAAGAAATTACCAGTCATCTTGATAGTGAAGGTACTCATTGTCATGATTGTAGAGGATCCCGGGGTAAGAAGGATCTTGCACAAATCTCTGCACAGCTGATCTGGTAAGAAATCCAGCATCTGGAGTTCGTATTCTCCAAGACAAATTGCCCACAAGTTTATTGGATTCTGTGTGAAATTCGTGTAATTGACAATCAAAGGTATCGAAGGTAGGATTCAAGCCACTAGTGATGAACCACTTGCCACTGAAATCTGCAATGTTAAAGCTTTGAACAAGGACATCAGGATTTGGAGCAGGAAAATCTCCCACATCAGATTTCTTAGGCACACATTTCTTCCTTGAGACTGCACACTCATTGAATTCATCAACCACAGTGTTTTCAAACAGGTCCCCACATTTAATCTGTAAAACAAATTAGGAAGAAAAGGAAGCTTCCATGAGTTGAGTTCACCATTCTTGGTAATTGGCATATAGCGTAAAGGCATCAATTAGATGTAAAGTACACAAGACTAACTTGGCATTCGGTCTCATCAGGTCGATTGTTACAAGTTTGGAGACAAGCAATATTAGCAGCACATGAAGGGTTTGAAAGACACTTAGCCAGTTCTATCCTGCATATAAATATTACAAGAAAAGGGAGAAATTAGAAGCCTATTGCATTGCTTTCCTTTATACATTTCAGAGATGATTTACCTGCATTCTTTCAGCAAACATGTACAAGTTTTGAGAGCATCTACAGCATCAGCTGAAGGAATGATCATCAAAACGAATACCAATATGCCAGCTACTTCCATGGTGCCCAAGTAACTCCAATCTTTAAGAAAAGCAAGCATTCCATCAACCACAAATTTGAATATCTGCTGTTATCCAAACAAGGAGTCAACTCATAGGATGATGGACATTGGAATTGGATATCAACTATCAAGGTGTTATTTAAGGAACAAAATTTGCATTTTCACACAAAAGTAGCACAAACTAATACATAATTACCCGTGGTACCTTTGTAGGAGGGGGTGAAGAATCTCCTTTCCCTTTGTGGCGTTGCAATCCCAAACTAGAAGAATGGCGACAAGGTCTTAACAAGTGCAAGCGTGTTGGCTTTGTGGTACTGGACAACACTTTGAACACAACCACATTAGGAGAATGCTTAAACCCTCTTGCTTTATGAAACCTTAAATCACTTCTAACCGTAAGGCCTGCTTTCATATATACATTGGGAGTGCCTGCGCCTTCTTGATACGATAACAATATTGAGTGTGCACCCAACGCTGCCATACATACATATAATATGTTATATATGTATATGTTATGTATGTCTTCACTTCCAAATGTGACCTGACACAGCAAAATAAACAAATAAATAACGCAGCATAAAAATCATGTCTTCAAGAGCTTGTTATCTCTTAAAGCATAATGCAGATGTAATCATGGACCAAAATGGCATGCTAAGGACTCTAACACAAAAGAAAAACATAATTGGCCTAAGATATTGCATACCCATTCTTTGTCATTAGTCAAAGTTCCAAAATTTAGCTTATTTGATGTATAATATTAACAATAGTAATTGAGAGGAGAAATATGATTGAGAATGAGGAGGGTGGGAAACATGCCTTGCGGCGGAGATGAGGCCAAGAGCAGGTGCTGTAAGATAATAGAACAAGAAAATCTAAGAAGAAGAAGAACGAAGAAGAGATGCCGTGGCATAAGATGAGATAAGAACATGATGGTGTTCGTGTGGACTGCAAAGAAACTCGTCACTGCAATCACAACACACACGTTTACATCTCCTTCTAACTCATTCACAGGCCCTCTTGCATATGGACTCAATATTTTCAGTCCAATATCTTCTTTCATGGCCCAGTTCGCATTTGCTGATTAAAAAATAATAATAAGGATTTGGTTTAGACCAAAATAATGAATCAATTATTTTTTAAATTGTATAATATTTTATAAAATTAATTTATTTTAATAGAAATTTAAATCTGATAGTTAGATTACCAACATTTTTTTATAAAAATTGTTAAATGTGTAATTTTACAACAATTAATCTTATCTTATAAAGAAGTATGTAATTTCGTCATTTATTTATTAATATAATTATGTGTGTTAAGTGCCTGTGGGGACATCCGATAATTATTGTATATTTAGTTTGTTTATTTGTTATCCTTCCAAAAGAAATAATATATTGAGATGGTGAAATACGAAAGGTGGTTACTTTTAAAATAAAGAGGCAATGCTTGTAAATCAAAAGAGAGACAGTGGCAATTATTCTCTGAGTATGTAAAAAGATTAGTATTCATAGAACCCAAGAAACAAAGTCATGATAACACGATAGAATTAGAGTGGATAAGGCAGAAATGCTAAGCGGCTTTGGGACTTGTATATAGGAATATTATTGTGTTAATTGCAGTGTTAATTGTACACTCAAGGAAGTGTTTTCCCCAAAAAAACGTATAGAAAGTGACAAATTTAATGGAAAAATTTAAGTGAAATTAATTAAATTAAGTTCATTGTTGTAACTATCGAAATATGTTTGGTTCATACCATACATCACTCGGTCAGACTAACTCTCACTTGCCAAACTTAACTCGGTTTGCAAGGTTTACCTATTTCAATTTTTTCCCTAGAAGTCAAAATTGGATACTTTATAGACCAATTTAAGGATAAGATTAGCACTAAATTTTGTAGCTAAGGAGACTAGATTAAAGACTAAAAAAAACGCTTATAATTAACCAGAAATTACAAGCATTCTGTTAATAATAAATTTTACTACGAATGAGATCCTAATAACTTCATTAATGTAAATAAAAATTATATCATTTTATGTCTTTTGAAATAATCATTTATAAAACCAAATAAGATAACTAATCCTCAAACTATAGTTAAAAAAAAAAATTATAACAACTTTTAGCATATAAATACATAAGAAATAAATGCTACCCAACTTGCAATAGTAGCACACCACTTCTTTTCCTTTATCAATGATCTTCACTAATGTAAATAAAATTTATATCATTTTATATCTTTTGAAACTATCATTTATAAAATTAAATAAGGTAACCACTCCCTCAAACTAAAGTTAAAAAAAAAAAAAAAAAAACCCTAACACCTTTTAGTATATAAATACATAAGAGATAAATGCTGCTCAATTTGCAATAGTAGCGCGCCGCTTCTTCTCTTTTATCTTTTTCTCATCACTCTTATCTCTTTCTCTATTACTAAATCAGACTTATCATGTCACTGTGAAGGCAACAATTTATCTATTTATACTAACAAGGTCAGTCTTTTACAAAATTTTGAATATCTTTTTCTTCTCTTTTTCTTTTAACAATTTTTTTTATTATATTTTAGATTTAAATTCGTGAAAGAAAAAATTTCAAATTATAAACTCTAGTTTGAACACAATAAATAATCAATTTTGATTTATAAAATTTTTTTTAAAAAAAAATTCAAATTTTAAATTTGCATACGAAGTGCATAAAGAACAATTTATAGCCACTATCCAATATCTACTTTGTATTAGTTCTTATTAGAGCTGTTTTAAATTCTATAAAAAGATGTGGAATTGCTTTGAAACATTTTTTCTTTTTTTTGAGATACAGGGAAAAGTATGGTGGCATATCTTCATCTCTGTTGACTCTTGGGCTTGACCACTAGGCCAATTCCATGTATCCTTATCCGTGTAACGTTTTAGTATAGTCCTTCGTGAACAATTATGAATACTTCGTGGCAAGATAGAATTATTATTTGCTAATTTGTTCTTTCTTAGCCATGGATTATCCGCCGGAGGGGCATCAGAAGAATGTCATTTAATATTAAAACAATATTTGGAAGGTTATAATATAAGACTTGGTGATGATTGCAAGGCCTTAGAACACCAGCTGTAATTTAAGGACCTTGAGTAAGCGAGAATATCCACATCCCTACGGTGTTCACAAAGAAATTGATACTATATCTACTCAATTCCACTCGTCTCACGGGAAAATTTTGGTTTCTCTGCTATTAAACGTTACGCAGCTTCACAATGGCGTAATTTCTCTTGCGGGGAAAGGAGGTTTTGGTTGGACATGAATATAAAAACCCATTTACCTCGGCACACTTTTTTTGCATTCTTCACTCTTGCAATATTCATAGAGTATTACCCACTCGTGTCGCCTGCATCCAATAACCCACAAGGTCAAATCAGCTTCCCTCCCTTTTTTTTTTATTCATATTCATAGATTATGTACACATGCAAAAATAAGGAAAATAATTTGTTAAAACCTAAAATGGAATATATATGTTTCCCTGGTGGTGCAGGTGAATGTGTGTTGAATTTCAACACATACCCATACGTGGCATTTGGTGAATGTGGCGATGTGAAAGAGGACATAAGCACTTGGGGTGGCGATGGATTCCCTACCACTCTATGCTGCCGTAACGCTCTCACGGTTCTGTCGGACGCGTTGGCCTCACAAGCACGCAACTCAACAGGACAACTCTTCCTTTCCCAAGACCAATGGCAGAACTGTAACCAATCATTTCAACCTCAACAAGGGATGTCACCTACTTCATGTGGCTTTGACAATTTGTACCAAGGCAACTTCAGGTGCTCCAGCTTCGTTTTGCAGAGTGTTCGAGTCATGCAACAGTACCAAGATGCATTGGACAAGTGCTCTCACTTCGACCTTCCATTTTACCAGTCTTGTGCTGATTGCACCACTGCAATATTGAACGTCAGAGATGGTTTATATTCCCAAGTAATGGGCAAAGACAACAACAACACCGAGAGAACCATATGCGGTGTAGCAGCTATTGTTGCTGTTGCAGCTGGCAAACCCGATGATCCTGCCCTCGTTGACAAATTCTTACGCTGCTTGCCAACTTCAGGAACAAACAAAAGTAACAAATTCTAACGTGTTTTTAACTTTTTAACTTATTAGTGCATGTTTGGAAACCCAAAAAATCACGTTAAACCACGTTTTAACTCAAAAGCTATAACTTAGAGCGTTGAAATGGATACACCTTTGACTGGTTTGACAAACATGCACTTGTTGTCTAACTTTAGTGTAAGTTAGAATTGAACCAAATGGAACTGACAAAGAAAGTTTTTGGGTGTTCCAGGATTTTCGGTGAAACTGCTGTTAAGCGTGCCAATTGTTGTGCTTGCAATATGTCTTATCATTATTATGGTAAAATGTATGTCGAAGAAGAAGCCTAGTAGGCCAGTGTACTTGAAAGAGATCACTGCGTGGTCTGGACTGTACTGGTTTTCCAAGGCTGAAATTGAGAATGCAATGAGTTTTGGCGGTGAAAAGATAAGTCTTGGTCGTGGGAGTGCGGGGCAGGTGTATAGAGGGGTTCTCCCCAGTGGTCAAGTTGTGGCCATCAAGCACTTGACAAAGAGTAACACTTCTGATTCTTTCACTCGAGAAGTTGAAGGGCTTTCTAGGCTTCGCCATCCAAACTTGGTTTGCTTGTTTGGGTGTTGCATTGAAGGTGATGAGAGATTTTTAGTCTATGAGTTTTGTGCAAACGGAAATCTTGCTCAACATCTCTTAAGTAATGTCCTCTCTCCTCACCTTGTCTCTTGATCAATTATTTGCTATGTTTAATGATGCTTCTTTTGTTATTTACTTTTGGAATGTTAGTATATATGTGTGATTCTGTGTTCAGGAAGAGACAGCCACTTGACATGGGAAACAAGAGTCAGAATTTTGAGAGACTGTTCATTTGCACTCAAATACCTCCACCATCATATAGAGGGCTGTGTTGTCCATAGAGATATAAAGGTGATCTGGTGAATGCACACTTTTATAAAATGATGTTTACAGTAAATAGTATTTTAATGCAATGTTCTAAAATTGATTTTAATTTTAGCTTACGAACATCCTTTTGAATGATAAATACCAAGCCAAACTGTCGGATTTTGGATTGGCAAGGATGATGGGAATGGAAGAGAGCAAGGTTTTTACTGATGTTAGAGGAACCATAGGATACATGGACCCAGAGTACATGAGTAATGCAAAGCTAACTTGCGCCAGTGATGTATACAGTTTTGGCATTGTTGCTTTACAAATTCTGTCAGGACAGAAAGTCATAGAATTGGATCTTGATGCCAGAGATCAACTCACTAGGAAGGTACTCAACGCTATTCAGAAAAAGGACAAAAAGTAATAATTGCATTAAGTGCAATAACAATATGAAACTATTTTTTTGTAGGCAAGAGATGTAAGCTTGGGAAAGCGTCCACTGTCGGATTTTGAAGACCCACGGCTAAATGGAAAAGTTGATAAGGCAGACTTTGAAGCCATTCTACAGATTGCAGTACTGTGTGTTGCCAAATCAAGCAAAGGTCGTCCAACCATTGAGGTTGTCTTTGAGGAATTGAATAAGGTCTGCAGAGAAACGGAAGCACGAATGGTATAACATGCTTAGTTGCTCATTCACAACTTAATTTGCAGAACAAATCCATTAGTCCTTGCGTAGCTTTGTGTGCTTATCAAAGATTTTTTGTGTTTCTGCAGAAGGCAAAGCATGATGAAAGCTCATCAACAACATCCACTCCCAGCTCTAAGTCCTCCAAATTGACTCCTATTTGACATAAAAGACATTGCGCTGCTTGTTATATGCGTGTGAGGCTTCTGTTTTCACCATACAATTACAACTGAACTGCTATGATGGTACATATACTAGGGAGAGTGGAGTACATACAAATATATATCACTTATGGCTTTCTCTTGGTCACGGATCTGAAATGCTCCTAGAAAAGGTGTTCTGCCCAACTGTAGGTCCGCTTAAAAGAACATATGGCGGCAAAAGAAACAAAAAGTTGTTTCAGTCATCCAGATATTCGATCTTAATGCATGTTATAGGCTTATAGTATTAGCAATTAAAATCCATTATGGCTACTCTTTTCTTTCTTTATTTTTTTTTTCTTAATTTTATTATAGCATCCTCCAGATTCCATAAGAATGTTCTGAGATACAATCGGATTTACTTGAATAATCTGTTTGATTGTCCTCGGGTATATCTCCACCCATCTTCTGCTATATCGATGTTTGACATGCAAGTTCATCATTACGAAGCTCTTTCCTTGTGTTTGCTTAGTTAAGTCGTAGAACAAAAACTACCGAAACATGGCGATGAAGCCAATAATTCTATATGAAGTTATCTATGAGATTAGCCTAGTAAATGCGGAAGAAAGAAATGGTGAAGAAAGTGAAGCCCATCTCCTGCTTCATGTGACATATTATACTTACACATCTCCTTATTAATCTATGAGAGAGGAAGAATTTTGTTTTGGGCGATGACAAGAAGAGAGAGAAGAAAAAAAGAAAAGGAGGAGGGAGAAAATAAATAAGCATACAGAAACAAAGTTTCTAATTGATTTGTCTATCAATAGGACACAAGATTTGATTCTCGCGTACACAAATATGTATTAATTTGTGACAAAAATAATAACATTAGAATTGCCATAAATATTATATAATACAAACAAGGATTACTGTTTCCAATAATGCCAACAATCCTCTATGGACATATTCACGGTTACCGTCACTCTTGTTCTTGAACTAAAGGTAGATACATGAATATTGCTGAAGCCTACTAAAACAAAGCAAGTGTATATATGTGGACGCTCGAGTTTGCAAGATTTTAATTTAGACGATACCCGAAACGGTTATCTTATCTTACTTGTTTCGCTCGACCAAACTGATGTATAAACAAAGAAAATACAACCTTTGACAGAAATATACAAAGCATCATGTCAAAGTGGCCTTTTTAATGTTCATCATCGCCAAGTAGTTGTTGTTGCAAGCACAAATTGATAAGAACTCTATCATGAATGAACACTTCCCTCCTCTGATCCCCTGCTGCTGGTATGGCCTAAACGCATGCTGGTTCTTTGACCTGACCTTGTGCTGCTCTCATTGTCACTGCTGATTAGGCCAAAAGATGCATCTCCATGCGATGGCTTGCTCCCACTACGATCAACAACACCATCTCCACTTTTACTGCTTAAATTGGATGAATGGCTTCCATCCTCCGATCCCTTCTTTTTCTTGTGGCTTGAAATTCTCACTGAAGATTTCTTACTGCTCTTTTGGTTCGTAGAAGATTTCTTGCTGCTCTTCTGATTCAAAGAAGATTTCTTGCTGCTCTTCTTTCTGCTGTTTTTGTGAGTCGTTGAGACAGTTCCATTTTCTGAATCTGAACTAGACCTTGATCTGGTTCCGTTCTTTGATCTGGTGCTGCTCTTGCGGCTTGACTTGGAGTAAAACGCTTGAGTCTCTTTAATATCTTGTGGACTATAATTATGCTGGTTTTCACTCTCATAATAATCATCATCTTCAGATTCTGAGGCCTCATCACTATCTTGGTATTTTCCACTGGCTGTACCAGCAGTTCCGTTATCCTCTCCATCGGAACTCTGGCTGTCCTTGTCAGATTCTTCTTCGCTTTCACTGTCTTTTACAGAAGCACTCTTCTCTGGGGGCAAGGTGGAAGGATCTGGAGGAGACGTGGAAAGAAAACTTAGAGCGGTTACAACATCACTCATCAAAGGACGGGCTGCTGCTTCCTCCTGTAAGCACATTGCTGCAATTGCAACAACTTGATTCAGATCCTTCTCTGGGAATTTTTTATTCAGATTTGGATCTGCCATATCTGGATATCTTTTAGGGTCCCTGAATATGGGTTGTGCCTGCTCAACCATAGTAATAGCAGAAAAAAAATATATAAGATTAACAAAACTGATATCTGGTGATCAAATTAAGCTGTTGGACTTTGGTATATAAGAAGAGAAATGTTAGAAAAAGACTTCAGTTTTTCCTTTACACGTATACTTCATTATTAAATGAAGTTTAAGTTGGAGCTTTCATCTCTTATATGTTAGTAAAAAGTATCAATCTTGATTAAACATCGCAACATTCTTAATATTTATCAACACCTCTTTTATTTTTTTCTTATCATGTCATGTTACCTTTTACATTTATCATTTTTATCTCTTCTCCTTCTTTTTCCTCTATGTGCATGTATACATGCAAGAAGTATCTGCGTACTATTTTTGCAAAAAGCATCTTAGAGAGAGTTTTGTTATAGAAATAGGACAAAAACCAATGTCAAAATTAAAGGGATTGTTATAGGTTTACCCATGAAACTAGATTTTGCTCGTCGTGCGATCTTGTGGTGTCAATGGCTCGCCGTCCAGTTATGAGCTCAAGCAAGACAACTCCAAAACTGTACACATCTGATTTCAAGGTGAGATTACCCGTTCTTACATATTCCGGAGCACTGTAACCATAGGTACCCATAACTCTTGTGGGTGCGGTGTTCATCTTATCTTTACCAGCAAGTTTGGCCAGTCCATAATCAGATAGTTTTGCATTGTTATCGTTGTCCAGCAAGATGTTCGCTGATTTCAAGTCCCTGTATATGACTGAAGGATTGGCCTTGTCATGCAAGTACCATAGTCCTTTCGCCGCATGTGATGCTATTTTCATTCTGCTGTACCAATCTAATGGAGGTTCATCTGGTTTCCTCTCTGTTATATTATTATATTACACATTACACAGTGCACAGATATATCATATATTATATTATTTTATGCATAAGACCGAAATTGAAGAATGATTAATATACAAAGAAAGAAAGGGTGAGTACCAAGAAGACAGCTTTCTAAATTGCCTCCTGGCATAAACTCATACACCAAAAGACGTTGATCTCCATCAGCACAATAACCAGTGAGTTTGACCAGATTTTCATGGCTCAAGAGACTCAACATCAAAACCTCAACCAGAAATTCCCTACTGCCCTGCATCCCATTTCGATCAAGTTGCTTCACTGCTACCACCTGAAGACGGGGAAAAGACACGCATACAAACGAGGAAAAAAAATGTATATTGAATTTAATAATCACTTTTTATATATGCACTATAAATTTAAGGCCTTATGATATGACCTGCCCGGTTGCAGGAATTGTTCCCTTGTAAACTCTTCCAAAGCCACCTTCTCCCATCAAGCACTCTTGGCGGAAATTCTTCGTTGCAATTGCCAGCTCACGGAAAGTGAAATTTTGTGCTTGAATATTTGAAGTGTCAACTTGGTTTGGGTCATCTGCCTTTTGTTTCTTTACCTCTGCATGTCATCCCCAACGTTAATTTTGAAGTCTTATGTTGGTAAGTGAACAATTAAATTGCTAAAAAAATATGCAAACAAGAATTTAATAAGTTAAACAAATTGATTACACCTTCCAAATGGCATTCCCATCTCCCACTCCATTCTATCATTAATATTAATATTCCCATAGACCATTTTAATAAGAATTATATATTTTGATGAATTAATAAATGGCATAGAATCACCAACTAATGTTTTCTTTTTAAAAAAAATAATAATAACGCCATGCATGGGAACTTACCCGGTGGTGTTCTTGTTACAACATTTTCCTGGGGTGTAGGCCCTGAGCCTTGCTCCTTCTTGCTATTGCTTCTCTTGCTCTTTGTAAAACACGGAAAGCAATTCATTCTTCTAAGAATCTATATAGAATCAAAACTCTATGATTGAAGTTGAGTGATAAACGGAGGTTCCCCCAAATGAGATTGAAGGACCCCGCAAGAGGGGAGCAGAGGCTAAAAAAATAGAAGGGAAATCAACAGCAAAAGGTGAACGGAAGAAGAACCCATGCATGTATGAGAGAGGGTAATGAGAAAATGGTGACGTTTCCTCAGAACTCTCGGAGAGAAAAAGGAGGGGAAATTTGAGTGGACATGATTATGAGGTGGGTGTCTTTTAAGATGGATTCCGACAAATGTGGATTTCATATTTCAGTTTTATCGTTCCATTCAGTTGCACGTGACTTTTCATTTTCTTTCTTGTCTTACAGACCATGCATGGATGGCATCCATCGTTTCAATTGGTTATTTACAGTTACATTTTGACTTTAACCTTTGTTTCCATTACTTTATCTTTCTATAACTAATAACTAAGATTAATTTATAACTATGCTATAGATAGATTACGAATTTCAGTTGGAAAAAACTTAATGGTTCACTTCCTCAATTTGGAAAAAAAGAAAAGAAAGAATACACAATGCAATTACAGGAGTTCTTCAATTTCTCATCAGAAAATGAAGTGGAGATTATTTTTATGGTGGGAGACAGAGTGATAGTCGGTAGCGTTCTCTTTTCCTTTTTGATTTTTTTAAAATTAAAAATCATTGAGAATGTCGCATTCTATTTTGAAGGATAACTTTTAGTTGTATATACATACATATATATATTAAAAATAAATGATTATATACAATATTAATAACAATGTCAATATTAAAAGTTAATTTAAACAAAAAAAAGTTACACATTTTTTTGTCAACTGTTCAAAACACTCTCTTTCTTCAAGGAATCCAAACAAGACCAAAGAAAAACAATTAAGCAATTAAAAATGTCCGTTGGGCTTTATAAAACTACTAAGCTTTTAATTATTTTATTTATCTATATGTTTTAATAAGTTTTTATTGTGAAATTTATAGAAGTCATAAAGTATTTTGATAATCAAGCTACTACTTAATTGCTTATATTTTGTTCATTTCGTTCAACTCACGCTGCAAGTTGAGTATGTATAATTAGCGTATAGATTTCTTTTTAACCTTTAGAGGAGAGGCAAAGCCCCAAACTATACAAGACATATTTAGGAAAGAGAGTGACGTTTTTATAAAATTTATTTTACAACTTATATAAAATGAAAAGATAAAACAATTTATAATTTTCAACACGCTTTTGTTTCTTTTAATTAATAAACCAAGTACTGAAATAGTTTACTTTTTTTTTTTGTATTTTTGTGTGAATTGTGATTAAAAAATAAAAAATATCATCTCTTTAAGGAAAGACACCTTTGAGAAGTATTGGATGAGGAGCAAGTGAAATCTTCTTACTAAATTTTTAATTGACTTTTATGTCAAAACTTTGCATTTATTTATTTCAATAAATACTTAAAATTTTAACTACATCTCAATTTTTTAAATACATATAAAGTAAGAAATAATATTAAATTTTACATGATAAGCATTTCGTGTTTGTTTGGGATAGTTTAAAATTTAGGAAACATTTATTTATTTAAAAAAAAATCTCTTAAGAAGTTAGCAAAAGTAAGCAGTTAAATTTTCTTTTAAAAAAAGTAAACTAAATTAAACACACACTGATTAAGTTGTACCTAATTAACATGCTCTTAACTTTTGTTTGTAGGTTTGCTTAAATTAAGTGCATAAACACTAATTTTAAAAATAAAAGGGCACAAACGATTCTGAACAAATTATAAGATTATGGTTAGTTAAATATATGCCTTAAAACAAGGTTAGTGAATAATATTACAAATAAATAAGTTGAAACTTAAAGAAAAATAATTTTTTACATCTTGAAGAGGTGTTTCATATGTTTTAGGGATATATTTTAAGAATACGTGTATAAATTTTTTTTAAGAATTATATATAATATTATATACGATATCACAAATAATTAAACCCACTAACCTCATAGCTGCACACAACATACGACGTGGCGACGAGGTATATAATATTTTAAGAATACGTGCATAAAAATTAAAACAATTGTATATAATATTATGTACAATTGTGTCCAAGGTAAGATGGTGATAACGCTTGCAGTTTTGAATATGCAACTTTAATTTGTCACAAATGAACAAAGAAAAATTTTAATTTGTTATGAAATATTAAAACATTAACAGGGACGCATGTGTTTTTAAGTTCTTTTTTTTTTTCCATTAAGTATTGCAATATTTAATTTGGTGTGATAAATTATGCCTCTTATAATGTTAAAAAGAATAATATTTACTTCTACAAATCAATAAATAATTTATCGCTGTAGAAATTTAGAGTATAGTTAGGAGTCGAAGTAATTTTGTTAAGCAATACTGAATTCAATTAATTAACCAAAGTTTGAATGTTTTGATACAAATGTATCATTGGTGGAATGTATGTACGTAGTGAACAAAATGCCTTTTATTGTCTTTATGAAGAACAAAATGATATTTAATCACATGCACATGCAAACCAAAATTGGGGGCACATGAGAAAGCGATTCCCAAAACACGTCAAAAGAGAGTTTCAAATTGCGTTATAAACGTCATTGGAACGAAAAGCCACTTGCCCGAGTGCCACTTGAGCTCGTCCGTACCTTTAAAGATGTACTACGCTACACCCGATCTCATTCTACTATATATGAACTCATCATGTCTATCATCAACTTAAAATGTTATAATGAATGATAACAAATCTCAATTTTTCAACGCAATTACATTGTTAAATATTCAAATATATGATTCCTAAGTAAACTAAAACAACTTCATCATCATAATATAAATTATTTTGTTTATAAACATGTAAGAATATTACAAAATTTACTGTCCTACGATGCGTATGTAATTAAAGTTTTAATTTGTACATTAGAAATTAAATATATAAGAGTTTAGTCACGATAGTATCTCCTTATAATGTTTAACTAAATTATTCTTATAATTTTTCAATTCATTTTATTATTAAATTTGTATTTAAAATTTTCATTAGTGCAATAATTTTTAAAATATCTTTGTTTTTAAAAAGTTTTATGAAATTATTAATTGTTTTAAAGTGTGTGTGTGTGTGTGTTTTTGGTGGTCATAAGTGTTCGGGAGTAAACGGATCTCAAATACCGAAGAAGGAGAGATCACGGAAGAGAGAGCTCAGGTTATAACTATCGCAATAACGCATTATTATTGTTATTTAATCACTGAATCAATAACGCATTGTTAAAAAGCCAAAAAAAGGATTGTTTGACGTGGATATCTTATTCAGATACTCTTATGCGATAAAGATAAAGAACCTTTTTCTCTTTTTATTTATTCTTTAGGTTTCATTTTCGATAATGGGATACTTTAAATTAAATTTGCGTTCATCCAAACCAATTAGTCTCCCTTCAATATATTCAAAAATTCTACTACCTTTGCCTGAAATTATAAACTATTTCGAAACAATATAATAAGAAAATGTTGAAATATAATCTAATTTTCTAGTAATGTTTAAAATCAAAACTATTTGATTGAAAATTATAAATTTGAGATTGATACAAATATAATTGGTACCATTTTGTGGAAATGTGAATTATGAAATGAAAGTAAATAACAGTACTATATATTCTTTTTGAGTAGTGATTCGAAAAGTGAGTGTTACAATTGAATGGTAGTGTAACTTTTTTCTTGAAATTGTGCGGCAAATAAATATGGAAGATAGGAGCGAACCTTAACCACTAAGCTTTCCCTCGCATTCAAATGCACAGCTTCTCCTTCCGCTGGCATTGCATTATAAACGGGGGTGGTGGCTGAGAGACACCGACAGGAAGAGGAATCGAGAAAAACGAGGAAACGGCATTGTTATGGTTAACAAGGTTACGGTGATGGAAACAGACAACGGCGGTGAGTTTGAGAATTTACCAGAAGGTTGCATAGCAAATGTGCTTTCCTTCACAACTCCTCATGACGCCTGCATTCTCTCCTTGGTTTCATCCACATTCAGATCTGCCGCACAATCCGATGTCGTATGGGACAGGTTCCTCCCCTCCGATTACCTCGCCATTATTTCCCAATCCTCTGCGCCTCTCACTTTTTCTTCCAAGAAACATCTCTACCTCCAACTATGCCAAAACCCCCTCCTCATAGACTCTGGTAAAAAGGTAAATTAATTAATTAATCGTGTCTCTCAAATCGTAATCAATTAGCTAACGTGAAGAATAACGTTTAATTGGCAAATCACCAGAGCTTTGCACTAGATAAACCGAACGGGAAAAAATGCTACATGCTTTCTGCTAGGAATCTCTTCATTGTTTGGGGAGATACTCCTAGGTATTGGAGGTGGACTAGTGTTCCAACGGCAAGGTAATTAGTTATTAATTATTAATTGCATTGTTATCTGAAATTGAAAAATGTAATTATATAATTTTCGATTTTATCAACGTTTGACGCAGGTTTTCGGAGGTGGCAGAACTTGTTAGTGTGTGTTGGTTGGAAATTAAGGGACGGATAAAAACTCACATGCTGTCCCCAAATACGTTGTATGGAGCGTACCTTGTTTATAAGCAAAGCGACGCTGGTGTCTATGGGTTCGAGAACCAACCGTTTGAGGTGTGCGTTGGGGTTGCGGGGGAAGGTGAAGGTGAAGGACAAAAGCGAACGGTGTACTTGGAAGCGGAGAGACCGCGGAGGCCACGTCAGCATATTGTTCCTCGGCGTACTAGGATTTTCAACCTTGTTCGTTCTCGTTTGTTGAATACTTTTGATGCAGCAGCAGCAGCAGCTGTTCCCTCACACGTGGAAGAATCTGTTGATTCTTCTAGACCTGGTGTTGAGTATCCGATGAAGAGAGAGGATGGGTGGTGGGAGGTTGAGTTAGGTGAATTTTTCAACGGCGGCGGAGGAGAAGACAAAGAGGTGGAGATGGGTGTTTACGAGGTCAAGAGTGGCGAATGGAAAGGGGGCATTGTGGTTCAAGGATTCGAAATAAGGCCTAAACGTTGAAGAAGCACTTTTTTGCTTTTGCCCACACAGCATTTTTTTCGAGAGATTCATGGTGGTTTAGTTTTGTTTCAAATCCTCGTTACCAAATTGTGGTCTTCTCAATGATACATTCCGTTTGGAGCAAGTGGTCTATTTAGAACTAGTCTCAAATTGTGGGTTCTATGTCGGTTGCTGGATGCATAGCACATCTTTAGAACTAGTTGTATGGGAAATCCTTGATGTTTGCTGTCCATTAATTCGGTAAAGTATTTTATATAAAAAAGATAAATTTAAAAAATGTGTGATAAGATAAATAATACATTAAGAAAATAGCATGATAATAATATTGGACAAAAGCAAATTCACTGTCATTTCTTTTACTCTCTTTTCAGCCATTTTCCTTAACGGGAAAGGTAAAATTAACAAACGGAACATAGTTTAGATCCTTCAAATGCCAAAGGCCTGCTGTGTCATTGGTCACAAAGTTTCTATTTTGACAGTCCAGCTAAAAGTTTCACGAATCAACCAGTCAGCTGATATTTTTGCTTTGTCCCTTCATTTTCCTACAACTTTATCTGCTTCTACCATTTGAGGGGGGAACTCGTAGATTTAATATAAATTGTAAAAAATTTGAAGTGAACAAATTTAAACATGATCTTTTTTTATTAAATCGAATTAGATCTTGAATTGAATTGTAAAATTTTCCAATTCAAATCAAATTTATATACATATATACAAGTGTATTTATGAATTTCATACATCACTCATTTTTGTATAGATTTATATGTACAAAATTACAATACTATTTTTTACATAGTATTATTCTCTAAATATATCTTATTATATTTATTAATTTCGATTTTTTACTTTTGTTGTTTTTTATACTTAAAAATAGGCAGAGGTGATAAAATAAGATTTATTTGTTTATCTTAATTAAAAAATAAAATAAAATAAATACCGATTTAAATTGGATTTTATTATGTTATATTTTAATTTAGTACCAAAATGATTAATGGTCAAATAAAAAAATAGCATTGAATTAGATGATTTTTCTTCTCAAAGTAAGTCTAATTTGTGAATACGCCGACCATTTGCCTATTAAATTATAATTAATCATTAAGGTAATATCAGGAGTTTGAATCTGAATCAACTGATTAATTATAATTTTGACAGTGAAACTTACTGAAATAAGATAAGAGTTGCTTATCTTGATTTTATTTTTTAATGAAATTTATTAAAATGAGATTAAAAAAAATCTGAGAATTATATCACATAATCTAATTTGAGAGTTACAGCTAAATAATTTTGTTCCTTTTTTATGAAATCAACTAATTTTCTTTCTAACATTATAATTATATCACATAATTTAATTTGAGAGTTATGATTAACTACAGTCATCTCAAAGAACGACATTTCAAAATTCATAATGCCTGGAATAGAAAATGAGAACAAATCAATGATACAAAAATGAATTATTTGAAGAAGGACGTGAAAATAGAAAAATCATAGATAAAAACATTAAAGCAAATTTGTGTAATTACTCTGAAAAGTTTTTTTTTTTTTTTTTTAAAAAAGAACAAAATCAGAGCAGAACAAAAAGAAACAGAAGTTTGTTTTACTACGGTCCACCATCTCCTCAATTTCAAGAAACGGAAGCTGAAGAAGAAGAAGAAAAAGAAGGAGAAGGAACAGCAACAATAACAACAGTAGCACAAACCGTTACTTTCAAACATGAACAACTGTAAACTAAGGTGCTCTTTCTCTTTATCTTTGTTTTCCCCCCCAATAATTGATTACATATATTTTCAACCGAAGTCTCTTCCTCCACGTATTGTTTGTTTCTTCCGCATCATATCCCCAATTAGCTTTCGCTTACAAGGTTCTGGATGTTTTGATTTCGTTTACGCCAAAAAATAAAATCTATTTTATAGAGTATATTTCTTGCTCGCTTTCTATGAATTGTTCTGCCAAGGGGAAATCCTACCTCGTAGTTTACAAAAATTAAATTACGGATTAGGAAATTGAAATTTCGAGATTGCGAATTCTTGGATCCGAAGGGAGTGTTAACAGTTACGGTCGTTTGATATATGACCTAGGTGAGCAATGTGGTCCTTGTTCCCTCAGTGTGACCCCTTGATTTGAAGCCTCAATATGAATCCCTCAAATATATTATCAAGAGATTATGTAATATAGGGGTTTTGTGCTGCTAATCTGTTGATCCCGTTTGCTTCTTCAAAAGAGAAACCTCACATGAAAGAGGGCAACAAAAGCCCATAACCTCAGTCTCTGAATCAAAATAGGTGCAGTTATTACTGTTAGTAGAGAGATGAAAATATTATTCGTTTTAATGGCTGTGAGGGTGGACTGATTGTTGTTCACAAGGTTCTTCGAGTTTTTAGAAAGTGAACTAACAGTTACTGTGGTGTCCTATATTCCCTGAGAATATGATCCTTGTTTCACTATTCCTTGAAAAGCAAAGAAGCAGTCCGGTGCAGGTAACAAGTTCCTATGAATTAATCAGAGGAGTTATGTGAAGGGACAATCAACCATTTTGGAAGTTTAGGCAAGGCCATGCCGGCAAAAACTGTATGCTCAAGGTCATTTTCTACAGAAATGTGGATTTTCCTCAATCTTTAATCAGTTAGATGGTAATAGTAAGTTTTAGGGACCTGGGACTAGGAATGTAGGTTCTGGTGGGTACACGTGGTTGGTTGAACAAGTTCCATATAAACTGCCAAGTATAAAGACTATCCTTTTATATAGTTGCTATGACAGCGCTATTCTTCCATAGAAAATGCAGGTTGTGGATACACGTGGCTGGCGAAATTCTGTATTGTGATTATGGCATTAAAGCACAATTTAGATATAATCCTGCAATTATATCATTCATGTAACGCTTGATTTCAATCCCCATCCTGTCACCTCAACTATATATTAAAATTAAAGAAATGAGAAAAAGGCTTCTAAGTTTATGACAAAATTAAGTTAGGGATGGAGAAATGGAATCATCTCTGAAAAAATTTGGTCTTTGTATCTCAGTAGTGTGTTATACTCTTAGCTTGTTTCATTTATGGAAATTTTTCTGTGGATTGAGTTATACACACCTACATGTGGTAGGTTTTACAATAATTTGAAATTGTAATGGTTGCAATTAGATTATCCAAAGCAATTGATTTTCCATGTTAATAAAAGATGTGTAGTTCAAACCTTCAACGGTTGGTCTAGTGGAGCAAGGCAAAGTTTTGTATCTGATAGGTAGTAGGTTGAGTTCTCACTCATCTCCTTGGGGTAAAATAAATATGTTTTCTGTGAAAAAAACTTTTGAACTTCAAGGTTTGTCTTGGGATTTGGATTCTCTCTCGTTGTGGCGGTAATTGGACCATTCGATCCATTTTTGCTTAAACGAATTTTCTTAAGCAAATCTTAAGAAAACGACAAAAAATCACATAAAGTGAATTTTATGCTTGTAACAGTCCATCGTTTGCCAAGAAATCAGCTTGCAGCTAGCTAGGTATCAGTTGAAGCATATATTATATTATTACCCTTGTCTTGCCTTGGACTAAGACACCAACCCATCTCCCTAAACTTTCTTTTTTAAAATAGTGCTTATTTCATATAATGTTTCTTGCGTTCCTTATAAAATTTGGAATTCTATTTATCAAAGAACATACTGATCTTATGCAAGAGGTGAATGTTCTACTTCTACAAACTTCCCTTTTGTTGGCGGCCTCATAATGTTCAGATTGAACAAGCAATGATCTATTTACAAACTGTTGTGTTACTGCTTAAATTCGTAGTTTTGTATTCTAAGTCTACTGGTGGGTCCTTTTACCTTTTTCTTCCTCTGCAATTGTTTTCATTTTTCTCATTTTGAATAATCTAATCATTAGACATCCATTATCAGTGACTTACTTTGTTTACAGATCAAATGTTCTTTACTAGTATTATGATTCCAAATTTCCATTTTGTTTTATGGCTTTCTGTTCTGAACTATTTGTAAAATTTAACTGTTCCATCTCTTATGTATTGCAGAGTCTGTAATTGGCAGGAAGTTTAATATGATGGCATTTATCAAATTTGATCCTTGGAAGCCCTTAATAATTCATAAATATGATGGAAACCCTTAGAGTCAGATGACATTGTTCTTTCCTTGTTTTAGTGGATATATGGCTAATCATTCTTTAGTATTGGATAATACTTCTGTTAGTACTGTTACTATATCAGAACATCCATTAGTCATTGGGCAAGAGTTTCCAGATGTGGAAACCTGCCGAAGGACACTGAAAGATATTGCCATAGCTATGCATTTTGATCTTCGGATAGTTAAGTCAGATCGCAGTCGTTTTATAGCAAAATGCTCCAAAGAAGGTTGCCCATGGCGTGTCCATGTAGCAAAGTGTCCTGGTGTTCCAACTTTCACCATAAGAACCCTACAGGGAGACCATACTTGTGAGGGAGTTCGCAATCTTCATCATCAGCAAGCATCAGTTGGTTGGGTTGCAAGATCTGTTGAAGCACGCATTCGAGATAATCCACAATATAAACCAAGGGAAATACTGCAAGATATTCGAGATCAGCATGGAGTTGCTGTTTCTTACATGCAAGCTTGGCGTGGGAAGGAACGCAGCATGGCTGCACTTCATGGAACATTTGAAGAAGGTTATCGTCTTCTCCCTGCATACTGTGAGCAAATAAGGAAAACTAACCCTGGTAGTATTGCATCTGTTGTTGCCATTGGACAAGAAAATTGTTTTCAACGCCTGTTTATTTCTTATCGTGCATCAATTTATGGGTTTATAAATGCTTGTAGGCCACTTCTAGAACTTGACAGAGCACATCTTAAAGGAAAATACCTAGGTACATTGCTTTGTGCTGCAGCTGTTGATGCTGATGATGCTTTGTTTCCTTTGGCTATTGCTGTTGTTGATACTGAAAGTGATGAAAACTGGATGTGGTTCATGTCAGAATTGCGAAAACTTCTAGGAGTAAACACAGACAACATGCCTAGACTGACAATACTGTCTGAAAGGCAAAGAGGCATGGTAGAGGCAGTAGAAACACATTTTCCTAGTGCTTCACATGGATTCTGTCTGCGTTATGTTAGTGAAAATTTCCGCGATACATTTAAAAACACGAAGTTGGTAAACATCTTTTGGAATGCTGTTTATGCACTTACAGCTGCTGAATTTGAAAGCAAGATTAGCGAGATGATGGAAATTTCGCAAGATGTTATATCGTGGTTTCAACAATTTCCTCCCTATCTTTGGGCTGTGGCATACTTTGACGGTGTTCGATATGGCCATTTCACACTTGGGGTAACAGAATTATTGTATAACTGGGCCCTTGAATGTCATGAGCTCCCTATAGTGCAGATGATGGAACACATCCGCCAGCAGATGGTATCTTGGTTTAATGATCGGCAAGATATGGGCATGAGGTGGACATCAATTCTTGTACCATCAGCTGAGAAGCGGATCTTGGAGGCAATTGCTGATGCTCATTGCTATCAAGTACTCCGGGCAAATGAAGTTGAGTTTGAAATTGTGTCAACTGAGAGGACCAATATTGTGGATATACGGAGTCGTGAGTGTTCTTGTCGCCGGTGGCAGCTTTATGGTTTACCTTGTGCCCATGCTGCTGCTGCACTTATTTCTTGTGGACACAATGCCCATATGTTTGCTGAACCGTGCTTCACTGTACAAAGTTACAGAATGACCTATTCACAGATGATAAATCCTATACCAGATAAGAGCCAATGGAGAGATCAGGGAGAAGGAGCAGAAGGTGGAGGAGCAAAGGTTGATATCATAATTCGTCCACCAAAGACTCGCAGACCTCCTGGAAGGCCTAAAAAGAAGATTCTACGAGTTGAGAACTTTAAGCGTCCCAAAAGAGTTGTTCAATGTGGTCGCTGCCATATGTTAGGACATTCTCAAAAGAAATGCACAATGCCCATTTGACAAATTTGTTTACTTGTTAAAATATCTCTTGTTTCAGCAACATTACCTGCAATAGAATCAATGTTGTGTTGTATTGTAATTTAAATGTATTCTGAACCAGTCAGTGACAGAATAAGGATCCATTAGTTTTTGCCATAATTTTATAGAATTGTTTCGCAATGGTGGTGGGCTGTCAGCATGCTCTGTTTTCTCGTCTCACTTAACAATTAGTTAATTAATGACAGAAAATTGTCTTAGTGGTTTGTCTCTGTTCTGGAGATTGTTTCACAAGTTGGGCAAAATAACTCGAACTGGTTTATCTTCATTCCTCCAAATGCTGCCTTGGTCTTCAGGTCTTGCACTTTTAGTTCTCTTCCTTTGTTAATATCTTGAAGTAGTACATGCCTTTCTTAATTGAATTTTCATGAACTATACTCTAGAGGAATGATAAACTCAAGAAAACTGATCGACTGACTCAGGACACTCCCATGGAAACAATACAGATACTCAACTTACAGATGAATGGAAGATGTCACTAGACATTTTCTTCTCATTATTGCCTATTGGGCCAGTTCTACGCAGAATTTGTCCAATGAATCTTTAGAATTTTTTCCTTAAATGTGTTTTCTCGTTTTGCTTTCATATTGTTGGATAAAGTGCTGTTTCTACCTAATGCAGGTTTTATTATTTCAAGGCTGCATATATTCAAGTGCTTCTGTTTTGGCAGCAAGCTGCAAGCGAGTTAATTATTACTAGTCAGACTTCCTTCTGTACTTGTTCTGGGGCCAGTTTTGGATAATAATAGTATAATAGCCACACAATTACAACGGTGACATTCCGTGTTCCCAATAACCAAATCTTAGGCGTTTATTTTGTTTGGTTTTCATATTTATTAGGCAATCTGCAGCGGGGTGGGGTGGCCACAGAAGAAATGGAAACCTCGTCATATGTCAAATTGAAAAAAAGAGACAGCATCCGTCGGTGTGATCACAGGTTCACATGAACACGTGAACCTGATCTAACTTAAAATAATTTGGGTAGTTGGATTTGTTCGAATAAAAATGAGTAATACGTCACATTAATTATGAATTTACGAGTTCTGAAATTATAAGAAATGTTATTTTAATTTATGAAATTATTAACAATAGTCATTTTAATTGTTCAATTATTACAAAATTTAAATAATTGACATTTGGTATTTTTAGGGACTAAATTGACTGTTCTTCATACTTTCAAGGACTATTTGGTATAAGACAAAACCTAGTATTTTAAGTGTTTTTAGTTATTAACCATTATGAGTTATTGAGATAAGATCACAATTTTGATTAGAGAATAATTAAAGTATCTAAGATGCTATCTGAGTTTTATCCCAAGTGTCATACATTAAGTCACAATTTAAAGTTGATGGAGTTATTAGTAGATGGGGTAGCTTATTTAAATACAAAATTAAAATTTATTTACTTCTGGCCTTTCATACGGCGTATGTTGTAAATTCTGACCACAGACAACGCAATATTCAAATTGATTTGATTAAGTCTCTGACAACCATGTTAAGCCAAATGCACAATTGCTCCAGTATAACTGCGAAGGCACGCCTATTATGTGCGTAAGTAAAACATGGTTACTGTCAAAGGTAATGGGCAACCTTAAGAAATATAAATCTGTCTTCTCCAACATGATAGATATTACACAGCCAAAACAAACATTGATTTCAAAAGAGACTGAGTGACTGAAACTAGGCTAAGAAAACCACATAAAATGGCTCGTTTGCTAGGAACAACTTTGATAACAATTTTCTCGTTAATCATATTCATCCTAGCAACAGGATCAGATGCTGGAGGAATTTCCATCTACTGGGGTCAAAATGGAAATGAAGGCACCTTGGCAGAAACTTGTGCCACAGGAAATTATGAATATGTGAATATTGCTTTTCTCTATACTTTTGGCAATGGACGAACTCCAAGGATAGACCTTGCCGGTCATTGTGATGCATATAGTAATGGGTGCACGGGTTTAAGCACTGACATAAAGTCTTGTCAAGCCAAAGGCATTAAAGTTATGCTTTCAATTGGAGGAGGTGCCGGGAGTTACTCACTTGCATCCTCAGAGGATGCTGAGCAAGTTGCCACTTACCTTTGGAACAACTTCTTGGGGGGACATTCATCTACACGTCCACTTGGTGATGCTGCTTTGGATGGCATTGACTTTGATATAGGAATGGGAACAAACCAACACTGGGATGAACTTGCGAAGTATCTTTCAGGGTATAGCAACCAAGGCAAGAAGGTTTACTTAACTGCTGCTCCTCAGTGTCCTTTTCCTGATGCATGGCTTGGAAAGGCTCTCAAGACAGGTCTTTTTGACTATGTTTGGGTTCAATTTTACAACAACCCTCCTTGCCAATATTCTTCTGTGGATATTGCCCATCGTGAAAATGCATGGAAGCAATGGACTAGTGATATCCCAGCCACTAAAATCTTCTTAGGATTACCAGCATCTCCACAGGCAGCTGGAAGTGGGTATATCTCTGTGAGTGATTTGACATCGAAAGTCCTTCCAGTTATTAAGGGTACCACAAAGTATGGAGGTGTCATGTTGTGGTCCAAGTACTACGATGATCAAACTGAATATAGTTCTTCCATCAAAAGCCACGTCTAGAATCTTAATTACTTATGGCTATATTGGACCTTGTGTTCATGATGTGCTTCTGTAAGTTAATAGGCACTAATTTTACATGTATTTGTATTTATTTATTGTGATTGTACCACGTCTAGAATCTTAAATATAATGGCTGTGCTTGTTTAAACTGAAATCCTTTGGGTGCTGAAGTAAGTCTTCAGGTGTTCACTTCGGATTATCTCGTGAAAAGGTAAAACGGTAGTCATATGAAAAAGTAGCAAGATTAATTGGAAAATTATACACTGCTAATTAAAAAGTTACAGGCTGAAATAATAACAATTACACACCTATAGTTTGCAACTTTTCAAATTTACCTTACATAACTTCTTTAGTAGGATTACGTTTTTTTCAAATGAACTTTGTTAGGTGCCATCATATATATCATTCATGGATTAGGCACAAGGAGAATAAATATCTATAGAAGGGCTCTCGGTCGTACATAATACCTTCGTAGATTGTACCCTAACATCCTGGCATACATAAATTAATAGTAACAATAAAATTAGAAAATATCTATGCTCTTCCATCAGATGACTACAAAATTTGGTTATGCGAAGCAATAGCTAAAGCCCAGAGAACTTGCAATCGTATTATGTATACATACTATACAATATACACAACTCCCCAAACTCAACTAATTACAACACCCAACAAAGACCCTATATACTTAAGCCAATAGATTTGAGCACAATTTAGCTTTGTGAGACAAAATTCAAAGTTTGACAAGTTGCTAAAGATCTAGCTCAATATATTTACCCTACATTTAATTTACAGCAAAACTGTTTGGAAGAACTTGAGAAACATCAAGTTCTCTTTGTAGATGAGGATGTTTCAAAATAAGTTGGTTTTGGAGTTGATGGGCAGCCAATAGACTGAATCAATTCTTCCACAGGAAGCACTTTAAATTTAGGAGGTTTATTGAGAGCAACATTGTGAACCCTGTGTTCAAAAATCTTGCCATTCTTGTCAAGCTTATACTCCGAGGTTCCATCAAACCTACCGCGGCTCTCCCACGGAACTCGTGGAACTCCATGAACGGTCCAGCGAACCATGATGACATTCTCAACAGGCTGCCACACGCTAGTTAAGTCAATCCACAAAGCTTTGAAAAATATCCTGCCATGAAATCGTAGTGCCCAGAAGATTGACTTGTAATTCTCAATGCCAGTGAATGTATTCAAAGGATCCTTAAACACTATATCATCCCTGCATGAATAAATAGATATTGTAGTCACAGCAAATTTTAGCATAATAGATCAAATACGTAAATTATGCAACCAACAATGACAACCAAGCCTTCTAACATTAGGCGAGGTCAATTACATGCATCACATGAGGGCATTGAACTCAGTGAAAAACTAAATTTTCACACACATAAATCAAGCAAAGTTTACAGTTTTAAGAAAAGCTAATAACCAACTTCTGCTATTCACTACTAAAAGCACATTTGATTTCACAAGTTTGAGGGGTTTGGGTTTTAACATTATTATGAAGGAATGATTAAAAAAACACATGCACAAAGTTAAAGGCCCCAAAGAACTGTCTCAAGCCCCTGCTGCACCGTTCAAACCATCAAATGTCAATTACCCAACATCATAAAAATTGAATAGATAACAACTACAAAGTGCTTGTTTGGAAAAATCAAATTATAAAAATTTAAAAGCACTTTTAAGAAAAAACAGTTTTTGAAAATAAAGTTGATTAAACTAAAATTTAGACAAGTGATGAAAGAAAAGGGAACCTGTAGATGTCGAAGCAGAGTTCTCTGTGGAAAAGGGCAGGGTAGTCCTCTCTGAGAGAGCGAATAGCATAGCCCATATTCAAGTAGTAATTTTCCTTTTCTTCTTTTTCGTCTTTCACTGCAGCTGAGAACTGACCGTACAACCTCAAATTCTCATCCAAACCCAAAACCCCACAATCCTTAACTTCGCAACTCGCTCTTAACTCACGCGTTCCTCCAATAATTCCCTTTCCCTTCGTCAAGGGTTTCAAGTTGTGCAGTTTGATGGGTTTAGGGTTGAGATCGTTAACAATTTTGGGGACACAACACATTTCCGGGGAACGGACGAGAAGAGCCATCTATATTTTTGCCCAATTCAGATGAAAATAAACAATAAAATGGCATTTTCTGAGGGAGAATCGAAATAAGATTAGAATTATCTTGTGGATAACTTGAATTATCGAGTTATTAAGTTGCAAAAAAATATGTGATTGGTTGAGTTTTCTTTCCTAAATAATTTACAAAAACGAAGAAAAATAGAATCTTTAGGTCCCTTGGCTTTAGTTTACAGCATATTCCCTTACTTTCTCTCCCTTTTCTTCATCTTCAAGTAAAATTCTTCCACAATTCTCACGGTAACTATAATTATTTTAGGATGTCAAAAAATAAAAAGCATGCGTTTGCCGGGAGTCGAACCCGGGTCTATTGCTTGGAAGGCAATTATCCTAACCGTTGGACTACAAACGCCTGTTCTTATTTGTATGTTTACAACTTTTATGTTTTTCTTACTAAACGTTATAATAAATAAAAAATTTTATTTAATATAAGAATTAAGAGGATATATGGAAGTTCACCCCTCAAACTGGATCATTTATTGAAACAGAAGTTTTATCAACATAAATACTTCAAACTCATTACAAGAAAATAGCATTTAACCCAATAAAGGTTAATTAACACAAGTGAAGGAAACTTGAAAGTTGGTTTCATTTGAAGCTCAAACATTGCTCTTGATTTTGGTGGAGTATAGCGTTTTCTTATCAGCGGACCTGTCCCAAAGCATAACTCCCCCGTACATGCTTGATCTTTTGACAAAAGGCAACACTTGTCTCATAAGCACCTGTGGTGGCACATAGCCAGTATTAGCTGATGATGGTGATGCAGGAACTCCAACATAAACCTTGGTAACATTTATGGATGAGATCCACTGGTTCCAAGAGTTTTGGAACTTGTTAGGGTTGCTAGAGTCAAACTGACAAGGACCATTGTTGTAAAACTGAATCCAAACATAGTCAAAGAGCCCTGTTGAAAGTGCCCCTTTCTGGTGTTGATCAGGGAATGGACACTGCGGTGCAGCGGTTAAGTACACTTTTCTGCCACCATTGCTATGTAGTATGAGTCTCCTTGCAAGCACAGCATAGAAGGCTTCACCACCACCAACTTCAATGTCAAAATCTACACCATCCAACACTGCATCACCTAGTGGCCTTGAACTTGATTTTCCTCCCAAGAAGTTGTTCCATATGTAATCTGCCACGTTACTAGCATCTCTAGGGGATGACAAGGAGTAACCTGGGTTGCCACCTCCAATTGAGAGCATCACCTTTATGCCTTTCTTCTGGCAATTATCGATGTCTTTGCTCAAACTTCTGCAACCGTTTGATGCAGCATTACAGTGACCTGCTAGATTGATTTGGGGTTGCATGCCACCGCCAAATGTTGCCAAAAATGCTATATTGACGATGTTGTACAGTCCTGAGTGACATGTTTTACTCAATGAACCTTCCTTCTCGTTTTGGCCCCAGTAAACCACAATGTCTCCGGCATTTGTACTAGAAACCATGGCAAGAAAAATTAAGAGAATAGAAACGTATGATGTTTCATTGCCCATTGCAATCTTTGCTTAAAATGACTAAGTTAGGAAGCAATTTATAGAGCATCGGGAAGTGTTTTAGTAGATATTCACGTACCATGCAGAGTACTGTGCAGTTGGGTAGCTAGGGCAATGATTTAATGGAATAATATTTTAATTTAAGTATCGAGTTTGAGTCAATCAATGCAACTTTCTTAACAACTCGGATGAGTTTTGCCACAAACAATAATCTTAGATGGCTCTCATGTGGTCTAAACCAAAATTAATTATCATTTCTTTTATTTTTAACATACATAAATAATATATATATATATATATATATATATATATATATAAAACTCAGTTGGGGTAGCGTAATTATCTCCATAAATGTGTCGGCAAGTGCCACGACGTGACTGAAGACAAACAACACCAAGAGAGGAAAATAAGTAAGTTAGGTTAATTAATTAATGTTGATGTGTCTTAACTCGCTACCAGGAATCTATTCGTTTTTAACAACTTTTCTTGGGATAAAATATCTCAAATTATTTTTTAATTAAGCTCATTTTATGAAAATGAAAATGCTTTAGTTATTTAAATTTAAAATTAGATGAAGACCCAATTGACAAATATTATCAAGCCTTGGATCAGAAACATCAGATCTTGTTAAGGACAAAGTCCGTGAATACCATTCATCTTTCATGGTCATTTGAATACATTAGAATCTTGTAGTTTTTCATTTTTAGTTTTGTAGTGGGTGGGAGATTCGGATTCCTGTCCTATTTCCGTTTCTATATTTATCTTATCACTAATAATTAATTAAGAAAATGATATTTTTCACTCAAAAAGTAAATACATATCTTACAAAACATAATATATTTTTCATTTATTTATTTGTTAATAAAGCAATTTTATAAAAAAAATCAGTACCATTTCTTTTTTTTTCTAATTTATATTGTGAGTTGTACTAGATAAAACATCACTCGATCTCAATGATAAAAGAAGAAATATGAATACTTCTTTAACTTAAATAAGATAAGTACTCTTTTGATCAGATAAAAAATGAATTAAAGAATAATTAAACTGATTAAGATAAATAATCATATCATTATTTACTTAATTAGAAAGTTAAAGTCAATACTGACTCATAAAGTCTATTAGCCCATAATACTATTTATAAAAGAAAAATAAGAAATACAGATAAATAGTTACTTTTGAATATTTAATAATATTTATTACTTATACTAATATCTGACTTTATTATTGGAGTACTTTTTGCAGGTACACCCTTTAGAAAAAAGTTAGAGATACTTGTAGAGACGTCACCTCACTTTAAAGAAAAAGAGTTTCTAGAAGATCGATGTATCCCGTATAAGAACATGAGTTATTTTATATATCTAACTCTTCGAAGGAATCAGAAATAAAATGACATTGTATTGTTGAAATTAGATGAGCAATGATATGAATGGGAAGCATCGACACATATTGTAAAGTTATTGACGTTAATTCCCTCGATATTAGGGGCAGAGACAAAGAAGTCAGAATTCAACTATTGATTTTAGGAAAAACACTAGAGGCCTGGCTAGTATATAGATAAGAAATAATGATCTGAAGCCTAATATTAAGAGTCAAAATTGTAGGTTTTAGATTGTGATTCGTTGAGGTTCTAAAGGGTACGAGTGTTGGAGTTTGAACTTGTCTTAGTTGAATAAGTCATCTACGATTACGTAGTGGAGTCTGTTTCCTAGTTCTTAGCTATAGTGGAGTCTGTTTCCTAGTTTTTAGCTTACTTCTGCTATTTCTTTGTTTCTCTTGTAAGTCTATATAATGCCTTTGTTTTCTTTAATAAAATATCACTTTCAACCTCATATTCCACATTTGGTATCAGAGATTGAACCTGTGTGAGAAAGTGATCGAGAGAGATGTCTGAGAGATCTGAAAAGTTCGTGCAGCCAACCATCTCAAAATTTGATGGCCATTACGATTTCTGGTCCATGACGATGGAGAATTTTCTGAGAAGCAGAGAATTGTGGAGCCTGGTGGAAGATGGGATTCCGGCGATCAGAACAACACAGGCGAGTGAGGTGCAAAACAAATCTGTAGAAGAGGCGAAGTTGAAGGATTTGAAGGTCAAGAATTTCTTGTTCCAGTCCATTGACAGAGAGATTCTGGAAACTATTCTTGACAAAGATACCTCTAAGACGATCTGGGAATCCATGAGAAAGAAGTATCAAGGCTCTACAAAGGTGAAAAGGGCGCAATTGCAAGCTTTGAGAAGGGAGTTCGAATTGCTGACCATGAAAGAAGGAGAAAAGATCGACATTTTCCTAGGAAGAACCTTGACGGTGGTGAACAAGATGAAGGTGAATGGTGAATCAATGGAGCAGAGCACGATCGTGAGCAAAATTCTCAGATCGCTAACCTCGAGATTCAACTATGTGGTGTGTTCGATTGAGGAATTGAATGATCTGAGCACGATGAGTATCGATGAATTACATGGCAGCCTACTTGTCCATGAGCAGCGATTGAATGGATATGTGCAAGAAGAGTTGGCATTAAAAGTGTTTCAAGATGAAAGACCTGGTAGAGGAAGAGGTCTCGGAAGTTCCGAGAAGGATGCGATAGAGGAAGAGGAAGAGGAAGAAATGTTGTCGATCGTACTATTATCGAGTGCTACAAATGTCACCAGTTAGGGCACTATCAGAACGAGTGTCCTGAATGAGAAAAGAAGGCGAATTATGTTGAACTAGACAAAGAAGAAGAGCTACTTTTAATGTCTTATCTTGAGAAACATCGGACAAACAGAGAAGAAGTTTGGTTCCTTGATTCCGGGTGCAGCAATCATATGACCGGATGCAAAGATTGGTTTTTCGAATTGGAATAAGGTTTCAATCGCTCTGTGAAACTTGGAAACGACATAAGCATGTCGGTGGTGGGAAAAGGAAGCGTGAAAATACAAGTTAACAGAGCCACCCAAGTCATACCTGAAGTTTATTATGTCCCGGAGCTCAAGAACAATTTACTAAGCCTTGGACAATTGCAGGAGAGAGGCTTGGCAATTTTGATTCATGATGGAACCTGCAAAGTATATCATCCCGAGAAAGGTGCAATCATGGAGACTAATATGAGTGGAAACAAGATGTTCTTTCTTCTAACATCCAAATTGCAAAAAAACACGATGTGCTTAAAGACAGAAGAAGTGATCAAGAAGGAGACGAATTTGTGGCATCGCCGTTTTGGGCATTTAAACCAAGAAGCTCTAAAACAACTTGCACAAAAGAAGATGGTTATTGGGTTGCCGATGCTGAAGTCCACGAAGGAGATATGTGCGGTGTGTCTGACTGGAAAACAACACAGAGTATCAATGTCAAAAAGGAGCCTCTGGCGTGCATCAAGACAGCTGCAGCTGGTGCACTCGGATATATGTGGTCCGATTACACCAATTTCACACAGCGGAAAACGGTACATTGTGACTTTCATTGATGATTTCACTAGAAAAACTTGGGTTTATTTTCTTCATGAAAAATCAGAGGCACTCATCACCTTCAAGGCTTTCAAAGCAAGTGTTGAAAAGGAGATTGGAACCTTCATCACTTGCATGAGGACAGACCACGGAGGGGAATTCACGTCCAATGAATTCGGAGAGTTTTGTAAAACTCATGGTATCACCCGACAATTGACGGCTGCATTTACGCCACAACAGAACGGAGTGGCAGAGAGGAAGAATAGAACGATAATGAATGCGGTACGATCCATGCTGAGTGAGAGGCAAGTCCCAAAGGAGTTTTGGTCTGAAGCTACAAGATGGAGTGTGCACATCCAGAATCGATCTCCAACAGCAGCAGTAGAAGACATGACACCGGAAGAAGCTTGGAGCGATTCAAAACCTGAGGTGGAGTATTTTCGTGTCTTTGGGTGCATAGCATATGCGCACATACCTGATCAGAAGAGGAGAAAACTAGATGACAAAAGCAAGAAATGTGTTTTTCTCGGAGTCAGTGAGGAATCGAAAGCATGGAGGCTGTATGATCCGGTTATGAAAACGATCATGATAAGCACAGATGTAGTGTTTGATGAAGAGAAAAGCTGGGATTGGAATAAAACCGGTTTAAAAGAGAAAATACTCGACTGTGGAGAAGAACAGAATACAGAAGAGAGAAAAGGTGACATGGTTTGTTCTCCATCAACTGCGAATTCGTCGCCTTCTGGTTCATCTTCGTCTTCCGCATCTGGTGGCAATTCGACACCGCCAAGCCCAATCTCTTCATCATCTTCATCAAGATCGATTGAAAGAGAAGTGGTTGTAGGCCCGCGAGTAAGGAGAACACCAGGTTATTTGGCTGATTATGTCACGGGTGAAGGAGAAGATGAGGAAGAAAGCTTATCAGCCATGCTATTGATGATGATGACAGAAAACGATCCAGTCAAATTCGAAGAAGCAGTGAAAAACAAGGTGTGGAGAGAAGCAATGAGAAACGAGATCGAATCGATCGAGAAAAATAACACATGGGAGCTAACTACCTTACCTGCAGGTTTTACACCAATTGGAGTGAAATGGGTATATAAAACAAAACTGAATGAAGATGGTAAAGTCGACAAATACAAGGCGAGGTTGGTGGCAAAGGGATATGCTCAGTGTTATGGCATAGATTATACCAAAGTCTTTGCTCCGGTGGCGAGGCTCGATACCATTCGAACTATACTTGCGGTTGCAGCACAATTAAATTGGGAAATCTTTCAATTAGATGTCAAGAGTGCATTTTTACATGGGGACCTAAAAGAGAATGTGTATGTGCGACAACCGGAGGGATTCATAAAGAAAGGAGAAGAGGAGAAAGTGTACAAGCTGAGGAAGGCATTGTATGGACTCAAACAAGCTCCGAGAGCTTGGTACAGCCGTATTGAAGGACATTTCTTGGATGAGGAGTTTGAGAGGTGTCCGAGCAAGCATACTCTATTTACCAAGACGAAAGGAGGTAAGATTCTCATTGTCAGCTTGTATGTTGATGACTTAATATTCACTGGAAATGATAGAGCTATGTGTGATGAGTTTAAGAAGTCGATGATGATGGAATTTGAGATGTCAGATCTGGGAAAAATGAAACATTTGCTTGGGGTAGAGGTGAAGTAGAGTGTTAATGGTTTCTTTATTTGTCAAAAACGGTATGCTCGTGAAGTTTTAGCAAGGTTTGGAATGGAAGAAAGCAATGCTGTTAAAAATCCAATTGTGCCGGGAACAAAGCTCACAAAAGATGAGAATGGCGAGAAGGTGGAAGCAACTACATTCAAGCAATTGGTTGGGAGTCTTATGTATCTAACAGTGACCAGGCCGGATTTCATGTATGGAGTATGTCTCATAAGTCGATTCATGGCAAATCCAAGGATGTCACATTGGCTTGTTGCGAAGAAGATCTTAAGATACTTAAAAGGTACAATTGAACTTGGAATCTTTTACAGGAGAAGTGAAAGCAGCAGTACGAGACTTATGGCATTCACAGATAGCGACTACGCCGGCGATCTGGATGACCGGAGAAGCACAACAGGATGTGTGTTTTTGATAGGGTCCAGTGCGATTTCTTGGGCATCGAAAAAGCAACCTGTTGTTGCCCTTTCCACCACTGAGGCCGAATATATTGCCGTTGCCTTTTGTGCTTGTCAATGTGTGTGGATTAGAAGGATCTTAGAGAAGATTGGAGCAAAAGAAGAGTCTGCAACTGTCATTCATTGTGACAATAGTTTGACAATTGCTTTGTCCAAACATCCAGTCCTTCACAGGAAAAGTAAGCATATCGAAGTAAGGTTTCATTATCTCAGAGAGTTGGTGAATGGCGAAACTGTTAAGCTGGAGTATTATGCAACAAAAAACCAAGTTGCGGATATCTTTACGAAGCCGTTGAAGCTGGAGCAGTTCGAGAAGCTGAGAGCATTACTTGGAATTGTTAACTTGTCTGAAGTAAGCTTAATTAAGGAAAGTTAAGCTTAAGGGAGGGTATGTTGGAGTTTGAACTTGTCTTAGTTGAATAAGTTATCTACGATTACGTAGTGGAGTCTGTTTCCTAGTTCTTAGCTATAGTGGAGTCTATTTCCTAATTTTTAGCTTACTTCTGCTATTTTTTTATTTCTCTTGTAAGGCTATATAATGCCTTTGTTTTTTTTAATAAAATATCACTTTCAATCTCATATTCCACAACGAGTTCCAAATTGTACGTTAAAATTTGGTCAAGTTTGAAAAAACAACTATGTAAAAAAATCATTGGAGGAGAAAATGGATGATTTCTGCGGGTAAAAATATCAAAATGCTTTGGTCGTTTAGTGCACTTCACAGGTTGATCAAAAGAAATGTCTAATGCACTCTAAGACTTGAAGTAATGAGAAACAACTTCGATGGTCGTGGGTGGAAGAAGTCAAAGACTTGAGTGAAGTTAAGAAAAAGAAGAGTAAGGTAAGAAAAGAAGTGACTTTTTTTTTTCACAAGAACTTTTTCCTATGCAAAGTTTTAAAATAAATAAATAAATAAATAAAATTCTACAATAGCAAGTGTTTTTTTTTCGTATCTACATGTGAATGGTATGTAATAAATGTGTAAACTAATCGTTTCCTTTTTATAAAATTAAAAGGGTATAGGATTCGAGGCTTGGTTGGTAATTTGTCAAAGCTGAATCCTAATAATAGTGCTTACCCAGAACATGAACTTGATCATTTTGAGAAAGGACTTGTGTTAAGACTTAACATCAACCAGGCACCGGCAATTACCTAAACAGAACCGATATTAAATAACATGGGAGAAAATTATCTAAAGTGCCAAAAAAATATTACCTAAGTTTCATATTTTAATAAATTTGTAAAATAACAAATTAAAAGGTAGAAAAAAAATAAAAATTTAACCTTTAATTATTGTTATTATTATTATTATTATTATTATAGTTGTGTAGTTCAATTTAGTTGCGATGTGAATAACAAGTAATAAGGCGGCTTTCACTGATGACCTCACCCTAAACGCTGATTAGTTATTTACAGCTAATATTCACATTTAAACCCTAACAAATAACTAATAACTAATACTAAAAAAATTAAAAAAGGAAATAAATATAAAGGCGGGTCCCACACTTGTTCTCTCTGAAACAACGGCCTTTTCTTTCTCTCTCATAAGAACTGATCAGCGCCTCTTTCTTCCGCCGGAATCACAACCACCGATTCTTTCTCGCTCCATCATGCCTTTAATCTTGCCGGAGAGTCAAGAAAGAATCAACATGGTGTGGTAAGGAAGGTTCTAGAAAGAGAAAGAGAGAGCAATGCCGACGCCGGCGAAGACGCAGAGAGTATTGGAGATCAACTTGATCTCAGCACAAGGCCTCAAGTCCCCTTCGTCTCCACGGCGAAGCCTCCAAACCTACGCCGTCACATGGATCGACTCTTCCACCAAGCTCCGAACCCGAGTCGACAAAGTCGGCGGCCAGAACCCTACCTGGAACGACAAGTTCCTCTTCCGCGTCACGCCGGAGTTTCTCGCCAGCGAAACCTCCGGCATCTGCGTCTCCATCTACGCCGTCGGAACCTTCTGCGACCACCTCGTCGGCACCGTCAGGTTCCTCGTCAGCAACATTCTCTCCTCCGAGCCTGACGACGCCAGAACCCCCTGCTTCAGCGCCTTCCAGATACGGCGGTCGTCGGGGAGATTCTACGGCGTGATGAACATCGGCGCCATGGTGATAGACGGATCGGGATTCCCGGCGCTGGAGAAGATATCGGCGATAGGGTACCGCGACCTGATGGGAGAGAAGATACAACAGCGGCGGAAAAAGAGGGCGCAAGAGAAATCGAAGGAAGAAGAAGGTTGGAGTGAATCCTGTGAGAATTCTTGCACGGATTCGATGGAGGAGGGAGAGGGAGAGTCGTCGACGTCGTCTTCGTCTTCGCCGAGAACGACGGCGTTGAAGGATTGGAACGGAGTGAGGGAATTGGCGGGAAACAAAAGGTTGACTTTGACAGCTTCGGGATTCTTGTGCTGTTTGGTGGCACAGAGAAGTGTCTCTATGGAACGCTAACTAATAATCATAATCAACTACGATCCACGGTGCAGATTCTAAGTCAAAGTCAAAGTCAAAGTCAATCCTTTTTTTTCTTTTTCTCTGTTCTTCTTATGTCATTTCTCCTCTCAGAGTCCCTGTTGTTGTATAGTGTCCTTACACTCTCCTCTTTAAGTCTTTAGCTGTTGCCTTTCAATTCATATTCTCAAGTTTTGAAGCAAAACAATATATTCTTTAGAGTTTGTTAATTTGATTTTTTTTCCCCATCAAATGATAAATATGACCGAGGATCAGAATGGTGGTGAAATTGATTTTTAGTCCTGCTTCATAGATCCATCTCAATTGCATAAGTACTAGCTAGTTTTGATAACATAAGTTTGAATCTTGGCTAGAAATCAAACTTAGATTCCGTGGCTTATTTATTTGGTAATAACCATTAACCAAGAAACATATCTTTGTTTCGTTCATAGTTGATTTGTGTTTCTTTTCAGTCGATTTAGTCCAACTATAGGGTTGGGCCATTCATGGGTCATTTCTGAATCATTTTGCTTTTCTCTAGTTAGTACTATGCATCAAGTACTTCGAACCAAGTACAAAATCATAGGCCCACCAATATAGGGGACAAAAATATAAATATGGGGTTTCCTAATCCTAAAATTTATGGGTTCCATGTACCCCTCAAAAGTAAAACTGTATCCCATGGGCCATAAGGACAAATCTAACCTCTAGAATAAAAATTAATTAAAATAATATAATTAAGAAATAATCATGAAAGTGAAATAATTAATAATGTATTATATTGTCGAGGAATATGAATATATATCTTGATTGGCTTATTCGCTGTGTTTCGTCTTCGTAATCACACCCAGGTTGACTGATTCCACTACACAAAAATGCAGCAGCAAAGCTCCGAAGCATTGTTAGACTGATAAATGATACCGTCCATGTACCTTGCCAAACCAGTCTAAATTAATATAACTTAATCACCAAATTGAAAAAATGTTCTCCCCAAGAAAATAAAACATCGATGATAAATTTTAAATACAGGTCTTTAAACATTTTAATTATCTTTTAACTAAAATTATAATATGATTTCATAAAAAAATAAGTATTTAACATTAAGTAGATTATCAAATAAAATTTTAAATTTGGATTAAAAATTATCATGAAAAATATGAAGAGCTATGCATAAATTTTGTCTAAAATTAAAATGTTAAATTTTTTAAAAATGATTCTACAAGTTTTTCCTCTTGCGTTTTGCGTTTGAAAAGTCACAATAATAATAAATAAGAGCATCAAAGTAAGTATTATTAATTAGAGAACCGAAAGTGCTCTTGGGTTTTGTGGTTAGCTTTTACATCAAAACATCCACTAGAATGACTTTATTAGTTTGTTGAATAACTACGTGCAATTGATTGAGTCCTCTTGGAGCATTCAACTATCGCAATTTAGTGCACTTTATATTTATTAATTCGAATATTTTATTATCATTTTCTAATGTTATTAACAAGGTGCACCATGGTACTAGCTAGTTACATTTTTGTTTCTTTATAAATCTTAATGTATTGTTATCAGCATGTCGTTTTCTACTTTTCATGATCGATTTGTTTTTCCTTCCAGAACAAAATACAAGTTGATATGCTCTGGTATGGATCTATACATGTTTCCATTTTTTAATACGATCAATTTCCAATCAAATGAAATGGAACTCAGACACCCATGACATAAAAGAGATTTTGTCCCATTAAAATGAGTCCAAGAGTTGATGATTTGTACATATCAACGTATTTGTTGTGAAATCACATCTACCCCCACCACCATTTTGTGTTGGAGCCATGCAACTCTCGAATACACGTGGCTTCCTTTTGTTTCTCTTAGCACATGGATAATATTAGCCATTGATCAGTAGGCAGGCCCATAACTAATAATAGAAAGGCCACAGGTTCGGGTTCAATTTATGGTACATTGGAGGAGGAAAACCATGTAACTTGCTTCATGAATTTAGAGCCACCACTAATGGCCTACAAATAAACTATGAGCTAGAACTAAATATCAATGTAGCCATGATTGAGCATATCATAGATAATCATATAAAACTAATATTGATATATTTCTTATCTGATTTGGTCATAGTTGAATGAAAAGGCCTTTTTTATTTCACTAAATTATTATTTTTTTTCCTCTACCCATCAACACTTATTGAAGGAATTGCTAATATTGTAGCATGGAGACATAACCAACCCTGTACTCCAATAGTGTTATATCCAATGTTGGTTTTCTATTGAATTCTCAACAAATGCCTTTTTGCACAAGAGCATTCTACTGTGGTGTTAAGACATGCTAGCTTTTATCTTGTGTAAAAATTTGTTACTCTCTTGGCAACAACCCAGGATGTATTGCCCAATAACATTTGTAGGAAAAGCTAGGTTAGGTCTAGTGCAAGCTTTAATGTACATTAAGTTTCCTATAATACAGCATACAAGATCTTCTTCATTCAATCCTTCTGAATTGTCATCAACATAAAGGATTAGAATGACACATTTGTTCCCATTGACTTTCAGAGATGTATAGTAATTTGTATTTAAGTTGATTTCACTCTATCACTCAAGTTAATTAATAAATGCATCAAGAGAGTAACAATATAGGATATTTCATGAACTTATTTTAGTGCTGTTATCTAGTTATCTAGGATGATGCATAATCAAGATATTATGATAATTCTATGACAAATATTCCAGCATGACTTGACTTATCTGTAGAAATATACCTTGGGGTTGAAGACGTAACTACTAGACTATGATTCCTTGTACAAGCAATGTAAGAAGCGTTTGAGTGGGCCTCAAATATGTTATCAAATCTAGTCGTGTGTTAGATTGTTGGCAATTCAAGAAAATACCTTTAAACTTTGAGCCTTCTGAAAATTCAAAATAATTTTTATATTTGTTAATTAATATTAATATACGCAATGAAGTACGTGTCTTGTTGATTATTTAAAAAATTAAATAAAAAAACTTGAAATGTTGAAAATAAAAAAAAATTAAGAAATACATGAAAGAAAGAAATGAAAGATTGCATGTATATACACTAGGTTGAGAAAATTGAAGTGTCTGTTTGTTTTCTTCTTTCGGTGATCTAATAAGGTACCTACACTGCAAAAAATTATTTATCTGTGACAGTTAAATTTTATGATTAATGATAGTTTTAACTATTTTTAAATATTTTTTCAACGGTTATAAAATTAATATTAAAATTAGCAACATAAAGCTAAATTTATAACGATTTTGAACTGTCGCTAAATTTTTGAATTTGCAGCGATTATTTAGTGGCGATTTTGAACTGCCGCTAAAATTTGAAATTTAAATTTCAAATTGCGCATGTCATTGTTTTGTTTTTTGCACAACAATGTTCTATTTTTTGCACGATAGTGCTCTAATTTTTTGCTTCCATACTTTTTTCTATTTTTATCTTCTACTCAGTTCTTTTTTTGCTATTTGGGTTCACATTCCATTTATTATTTAACAACACAACGTATATATTATATAATTTACAGTGTAGAGAAGTTAAAGAAGAATCATTTTTGGAAGAAGTGAAAATGATAAAAAAAGATTACTGAGATTATCACGGTTAGAAAAGACATTTTGGTATGGTGGCAATGGCAGTGGTGGTGGCAGAAAGAATGGTAGAACTCATGACTGAGGTGGAGATGAATGATAGTTTTGAGTAGGTGATAAAAAATGAAGGAAGAGTGATATTTCCTATATTATGTTATCTTGAACTAATGTTAAATTTTGTATTTTTTGTGGCGATTAATAAAATTAATGTTAAATGTTATTTTCAAAATGATTTATGAGATATTATTGTTAAACACCGTTAATGAATCACCACTAAATAATGCATTTCTTACAGTGTCGTTTGCTGGGGCATGTCTCCTATGATACACATGATTATTGTTTCTTTATTTAATAATTTTAATTAATAACAAATTTAACGTTTTGGGTTTGATTAATTATTACAGGGTGACAATAATGGCACGTATTTATCGATGATACATAACAATTTATATATAAGCACTAATAAATAAAAACTAAAAAATATTGCCCTAGTGCTATTGGTCTGTGTATATCTTATTGCTGTGCTGATTATACATTACTAAAATGTAAACAAAACCAACTAGAATAATTCGATTTAATATCTCTCAAACTTATAATCAAATTTTTGTTTAAAGAATGGTATAAAAACTCTTTTTCTGAAAAAATATATCAAAACACATTCTTTACTCAATCCACTATAGGCAAAGCAAATTAACAATCAAGTGAAATAAATTAGTAAGAAACAAATCATATTTCTCACTAAAACACCAATTCATTCTAAATAAATATAATTAAGTTCACTAACAAACGTCACATGCAAGTAATAATAAATTAGCAAATCCAAAATCTTCTTAATTTATAGCTTTTTGAATTAGAAAGTTTAGATTTGAGTCGTAAAGGAAAATCTAGCCATAAATTAAAGGCACGAGGTAAGCTCTAACCAATGGCAATTGAAGGCATAAACCTTGGGAGAGAAGGGAAACCATTGGCCATAATGTTTCCTTTATTTCTTTTTCTGCTTCGCTCTCAATAAAACAGATCTGAAGCCAACTTTTGCTTTCCACAGTCTTCGTGTTGGAAGAAGTTAAATTCATTGCAACCCCACATGCCCATGCGCTAGAATGCACTCGTTGCATGCCCATCACTCCTTTTCTACAATTTAGAGACCAAATTAAGACTTCTATGTTAGTTAAAATATAATTTTTATAAAATTTGAATAAACTTTTTATGGAACTGACTTTTCAGAATAAACTAAACTTGATTTATTTTTAATACAGTATCAAAATGTAGTTAATTTTAATATTAGGTTACTTGCAATTATTCAGTCTAAAAAACCTTATCTATCGAATATACATGAAATTGTATTAAAATGTATTGCATTGAATTAAAAATATTATTAAAATATTTTTATAAAGTTTAAATAACCTCTCTCTTAAGTTAATATTTAGATACTTAAAGTTTAAATAGATTTTACCTATCAAATATTGTCTTTTAAACGTAAAAGAGTATCAAGATGTATTACATTAATCAGAAATATGATCAAAATATTGTAGCTTTGAACGATATCAAGGCATTGGTTTATATATGTTTTGTGATTTTGATTAAAAACCGATTATATCTAGT